TGAAACAAACGCAAAACTGATAATAACACATTTTCGATTTTCTTTGTCTTTTTTCTTTTTGTTTTCGTAATAAAAATTCCTGATGATGAGCTCAGATAGAGCTTGAATCTCTCTTTTATTTTTGATCGAAATAAGACTCATGATTTTTACGGCAGTTCTCTCTTTATTGTCTCATATTTTACCTGCTGCTCCCTTTTCTTCCTTTATACATTTGGTTGTTACGTCCATTGGTATTCGTGGGGAAAATTTCTATTGATCAAATTAGACTATTTTCGATTGAATTTCTTTACAAACGATTAGACCGATCGTTTCCTCCATGGGTGAATACCTTACTGAAGAGCAACAACAAACACTGTGGCGAACAGAATTCATCGCCTTAGCTGGAGACGAACATGGTTTTATATGTGGTGATCAAATGGGTTAGTAATTCATCTTATCATCTCGATCGAAGGCAAAGTCTATTACCTTTAGTCCGAATTTCAAAGAAAGTTGGCCTGTTTTCTTCAACTGCCCAGGTTATTATGGCACGGTCGGTTCCGACCGGTTAGGTTCGTTTTCCGACCATTTCCTTGCCGCCGGATTCCGGCCGGAAGTTCAAACATAGGTTCCAGTCATTTCCCGGCTGTTTCCTGCAAACTTCGATCTGGAAACGGTCAGGAACTGATCGGATATTTCCTATGCAATTCCGGCCGGAATCCGGCGGCAAGGAACCTGCCGGAGCTTGCTGTAATCGGCGAAAACTGTGTCGGAATCGAGAAGAGCTGTACCGGAACCGACTCAGATTTCAACGGATCCAGTCGCCGGAATGATCGACCTGGGGGTGTGTATGAAATATTTGATGGATCAATGTGTCTCGGCCTCGAATACTTTTGTTCGTATCTAACGACACTAAGAGAAGAGAAGCGTGACGAAAAGCGATATGGTCAATTAGCGCAGCACTAATGAATGACATTCACTTCCATTCATTAGATCATCTGTTGATGCTTTTCTTTGTCATCTCAGACTGAGTCGAAAAATTGATCGATCAATTCATCGAATAGTCAGTGAATGATCAACCATTGTTCTACTCAGAGATAAATAGGAAGAGAGCAAGTCATAAGATCATTGGAACGAATTTTTGTCCTAGTTGATGGCGGAACAGGAGATTTTTGTAAGCTTTTTGAGCGAACACGAGGCAGCGATTGATGCAATCAATTGTTATTATTTTGTTCATTTGTAGGATGAGACGGAAATGGCTCGTCGACGACAACGTCTTTTGACCGAAATAAACAAGTTGTGTGTACAAGGAAAACCTGTTGATCTGGATACAATCAAGCAACTCCATGCAACGCACGGTGTTCCATTTCAAAGCTCATGAAGTTGTATCTGATTCGCTTTTTGAGTAAAAAAAGAATAAATAAATGATAGATCTCTCTGTAAGGCGAAGTTCTTGTTCCATCGGCAATGACGATCATCATCTTTCGATAGTTCAGACAGTTCTATCTCAGTTATTTGGAGAAAATCGGCGAGTCAACTCGTTTCTTGTTCAGTTCATTGTTCCTAGAAGCGAAACAACTATCAATCAAGCATTGAATGAATGAGAACTATCTCACTTTGAGCAACAGAAATAAGTGGAAAGAATTTATTTCAGCCATATTCTTGATGAACTTCATTGGAATGATCATGTACTGACGATAAGGATTGGATTTGTTTCACTTCATCGATTAATCTCTGCTATTGAATCACTTTCCTATCCCCTATCGCCATCTCCTCTCCGCTTTATTCGGAGTCAGAGTGAAGAGGGCAGGTGTAATTTCAATAATCTATGCAAATAAAGTACAATCCCATTGAAANTAGTTTCTTTTGGTAGTCGAATTAATAGAAGATCATGACTGTCGAAGCGACAATAAAAGACAAGTAACGCGGCCTAGTACCCATTAAACCCTCTACTGAAAGGATAGTATTAGAGCGCTACTTTTCGTCCAAAGAGAGAAAAAAGTTATTTCAGTTGAACGATCTGATCATTTGATAATTTGTCAGAATGTTTTACGTAGACTAATTTCGCTTCCTGAAATCTTCTGAAATTATAGCGCCTAGTCGCTTGTCGGCCTCTCTCTGGTCGACCACTCACGGCTAGCCGTTACATGTACATTTTCACTCTTCCATTTAGTCTAGAGTCACTTTTGAAACTAATTCATTCATTCTCCTCTATTTCTTCTTTAAAAGTCACTCTCTTTGTGCTACTGTGACTGTCGAAGACAACACCTCACAAGCGAAACAGTATTTCGAATGACTGGCATCAGATGATATTCGTATGGTATACCTGTTTATAAAAGTGTGTGATCTCATTAATATGCTGATGACTATGGAGATCCAGCGATCGGACGTCAGTCAACTATTACATTTTGTTCTACATATTGCCGCTTAAAACATTATCGTCTAAAAAATTGATCCTTTGTCGCAAAAAATCAGGCCAGAAAGTGTTCATGAAAAAACTAACATCAGATACGTGATCCTCGACGCCGATTACCCTTCGGTCAATCCTTACTACTATGAGCTAGTATTAGGTAATATTGGAAGAAAAATGAACGAACGAACGGACGAACGAACGAACATCAACTCGTTTTTTCGGTGATATCAGCTCGACGCACTACCCTCCTTTCAGTAGAGGGAATAAAAGAAACCATTTGTGTAGATGCACTACTCTTGTAAAATTCGACAATGCTATTAACTTTAGATTTGATTTGTTCCTCTGTATGAAGATGAATTGTGGCATGTTCATATCTATCAATATTGATCTGATTCTAAAAACTTGTATTTTCAGACAATGAGTAAAGATCAGCCAGGATTGAGAACTACATTCGAGAAGAAATAAATGAAACTCGACATTTTTCAAGAAAAATAGGCAGATAAAAGTATAGGCGATATCATGATGTATGTCTGACGCCGATCATGGGTTAGAAGATCGAGCTTTAATACAACATTCATATTTCACTTGATACATTCTCGCTCTCTCACGCCGAAAAGTTGTTGTTGTTGAGACGAAGATGTCACACCCTTGCAGAACTTAGTGACGCGAGCATATATTCGTAGAGATCATCGTGAAAAACTTACAGATTTATATCATGATATTTCGCATTCATTCGTCACGTCAGGTAAACATAATGTGGATGTGTTTGTAAATAAAGTTCTCAAAGAAAAGATGGGAAAGAAGATTAGGTGGCAGTGAGTAGTGTCCCTTCAGCACACATCGACGACCAGCTAGTTGTTCAACATAACGCACCATCACCTAAGTCTATGTTTAAAACTTGATATACTCATACACGGATAGGAGATGTGAGCAACAGGTATGCTACTAATTCTAGGATGACCTGTCCTCTATGATGAGATACCGTTCTACGGTAGTATTTATTAAGTTTTAGTTATCTCATTGGAGTTCGACAACGCTCAAAAATAGACTCAGATTTACCTGATAACTAGCTATTTTTCGAAAATCTTCCGGTATATATCTACTCGCCATTAACGAATACAATGCTTCGATCCATGGTTGACTAATGAAAACACTTGAACATATTAGATGAAATAAGATAGTATGATTGACAAAGTCTTTCTAAGCTATTGTTGCTTTTGAGCACGGACATGACAGTGTTTTTTTACTATGATCTTGTTAGAGTTGATCGAAAAGCGAACGAGTAATTTGAGAAGCCAACACTGTTTGAGCTCGTGGCTTTGTTATTATGCAAGGAAAAAGAGTATATAAAGAAACGCTAAAAGAAAATGAAAAAAGGATCTTGAGGTTGTTTGGTTTGATGTGGATCATAGGGGATTTCTCATACTTCGATGAACAAATTGTCGTCTTACCGATGAGTAAAAAGATGTATGATCACGTTGAATATCTCTGCTGTTTCAGAGTGCTTGCTGGTTGTTGTGTTTCGATGTCTTCTTCGAGTATAAACAGATTGTACTGATGTAAATAATTGTACAATCGCTGAAATATCGATTCGAACTTCATTCTTCTCACAAATCAACCAGAGTTGCAAACGATCAAATAATGAATTATCAATTCAATATAAATCGATACGTATTGGTCTTATTAGAAAAAGCCTGATTAGCTTCGAATGGAATGTTAGTAAGGAGTTCCTTGATTTTTATATCAAGAAATGAATAACGTCTGCTTGATAACGAGATGGAGAATAATATTTTCTAAGTTTTTGTTGTTGGTCTGAAAGTTGAGAATAATTTTCTCATATGAAAATAAACTCTTCGGTCACATCTGTTTTATTATTTAATATTGAATAGGACCTTCGAAGTTTGTCTTGTTGCTTTTACAGTCGTTTTCATTTGAGCGGATGTGACGCATATACTGCGTCATAGGAAATCGATGATATTTGATGCTGAATAGCGAAACTAAAAGAGACATGTACAAAGTAGATGATAGTTTGAATCAGCTGAGAACACGTATACAAAAGGGGATGGTGAGCCAATCTAAGTTGATTTTCTGGATTTTATGAGAAGGATTTCTATTATACTAAAATTAAGTATTTGTTCATACTTGTGGTAACATATGTCGTTTTGTGCATTTCCTTTCTCTTAACGAATTCAATAAAAGAATACATAGATGTTATCAATGTTTAGAGAAACGGAAGAGTCATGTACTTATTTTTACATGAAGAAAGTACTTTAAGAACGTCGTCTATCTGCGAGATATAATTATTGCAATTAGTTAACAACACCTAGCTATGACGCTGAATGCTGGTGTGATCACACAAAATTTATAAATAACGATTGTCGAGGAAAACCCGTGTCCTGTTCAGCTTGACTTGATCTCATAGTTGTTGCATAAACAGATTAAGAAAATTTAATAATATATAGGTAATTCGTATCACTTTAAGAGCCGTTGTTGAACAATAATATTCGATCCAACATCAATTGCGGAGGAATATTTGAGAAGTATCGTGCTTCTCTCAAACGACGAGAATGATGAATCTCATGTGATACGCAAGTAGATGAGCTTATATGTAAACAATAGAAGACTAATTCGCAAATGATTTTCATGACGTCGATCGGTAACAACACTGATGACATCAATGTGTTTCACCATGGAATTTGACCATGGAATTGTTTATATTATTCATATATGTTAAAAATAGGGCGCTAGAAGAAAAACAACGAATGAACTTTTGACTGAAAAAAGTACTTTTCTCTTCACAAAGGAGAACATCTTTGGTAGACGTTGTTGTTTATATGAGTCACTTATGACATTTTCACAGGATTAGTTTAGTTGATTGTCGAATAGCGTACAAGGTATTTTTTTCTGCAGATCGAGAGGTAAACACAATTTATTTAAGTTCGTAGGGAGACAAGCTCCGATAGTCTACCGATTCCATCAAGAAATTCTTTGATCGTCAAATGTAGAGGATATATCTATGTGTCGTTGAAGAGAAGAAAAAGATTTTTTTTTCTGTTTAACATTCTTCTATAGTGAGCTTCGTGGTCTGACGTTCGTTTCTGACTAATTCAAAAAAATTTTCTTTTCTCCAATGACTTCATCGTCAGAAGAAAAAGAACAAACATTCTAGCGATACGGTAGAGCATATAAAGCGACTGTGACAATATAGATTAACAATTTGAAATGGCATTTCTCCTTAATCTATTCAATCACGGAGAGAGCAACAGAGCTTATGATCAGATATATGGTGATAATTATCAGAACTACGGATATGATCAACCGCAACCTCATCACAAAGCATCATGGACACATGAACTTATAGGTGGCGCAGCCGGTTTTGCAGGTTAGATTTATTGGTTAGAGTTTAGATGATCGAAATCGTGTTTATTTAGCTATGAAAGCGTACGAAGATCATTGTCGTCGCGAAGGTCAACATGTATCTCATGCCTTCATGAAAGAGATGCTGGCAGGCTTTGCAGCTGCTGAAGTTGACAAACTATTTGAAACGAAAGGTTTAGACTTTCTCGATCGAGAAAAAGCTAAACGACATGCAATTGAGCAAGCACATCATCTTGCCAATGAAAGATACGGACAGGGTGGAACTTTTAATTATCAAAACGATCCGTATGGATCCGGTCCAAACCAGTATGGAATGGGACCCAATCAATACGGACCCGGACCTAATCAGTATGGACCAGGTCCAAATCAATATGGACCCGGACCTAATCAGTATGGACCTGGACCCAATTTTTATCAGCAACAGGGAGGACCCAACTACTACCAATAATAGATTATATTGCTTTTCTCTGCTGTACAGAATAAATATCATAAACAAAATAAAAGTAAAAGAAAGATTTTGCTCATACCAAACATTTTATCTATATTGAAAATGTGATCATATTCTTTTAATAAAAACATGTAGAAGAGTTAATATTGAGTGTAGAAACGAACAAGATAAAATACTGTAGGAGTTATAAGTATGATCAAAAGAAAAGTACATCAATATTTGACAATCCTTCGCAGTATAATCTTAAGCAGACTATAAATCATTGTATAAAAAAAAAGGTGTTATAAAACGTGTTTCATTCATATCAATGAAGATGATGTAGTAGCATTTAAAGCGTACATATACAAATCTATTGAAAATAAAGGGTATGAACATCTTATCTTATATCATTATTGTTCAGTTAGGCACATATATTCATGGACAATTCATACGTCCTCCACCTAACTTAGATGAATACGATGCGTATGGGTCACTTTTGGCTATGAATGAATATTTAGTTGTCTTAGCTCAAAATGATCAAGAGCAGTTTACGATTGTTACCTATCCATTTACTAATCAATCGAACAAATGTGTTTTACCTTACGACTCAGCGCAAGGAAGCATTTCTTCATTGACCCGCTTTGTTTATAATGTTGCCATAGGAACGAAACAAAATGCAAGTCAATTAATATTTTCGTACATTAACGAAAACTGGCATCGAGATGTATTTTTAACTGTTGTCTTTCTCGAATTTATGACCAATGGTTGTGTTCAAATGATCAATCGAACTGCAATCAACATGACAGATCTCAACATGCAAGAACATGCTATTGTCGGCATGGATCCATATGGTGAACGAGCATATGCGATAGGTACATATTATATTCAGTGTGTAGAAATTAGTAGCGGTAATCGATGGACGATAAATACTGAAGAATTGTTCTTTCCGAAATCATCCGTGGTGACTGAGGATCATCAGATCTTCGTCGTTGGTCAGAGATATGTAAATCTGAAATTTCTTCCTTATCTTTATGTACTGAATTTAACTTCACTTGCAAACGTGACGATATCGTCTACTATCGAATTATCCAATTTTAATTTTGGTTCTTCTGCAATCGATTTTACTCGAGATTCAACCATGTCTATCGCTCTTGTTGATGAAGTTCAATGGTTTGTTGTCGGCATTCCCCGTTTGGATATGTTTCTTATATTGTCACGAGAACTTTCAATTCTTCGAAAACATATTTCATCACAACGCGGGATCGATTTTGGTAAATCTGTTGCTATACTTGACAAGAATACATTTGCTGTTCTCGCTTATAAACTTCAAACTCCACCGTGGTCGACCTCACAAGTACAAGTAAGTCAAATATATAAGATGAAACCTTCGAAAACTCAATTTGTTTAGATCTATTCTCTCAATTCTGAAGAATCAGACACCCAGCCAATAATCATATATCCGAACAATCAACAGGTTCTACCCACGGTGAACTCTATACCGCCTCCACACAGTATTTTAACACTGGTTTCTTGGAAATCCCATCTAGGATTGGTAGTTGACGTTGGCGCTGCTCTTCTCATCTCTGCTAGTTCACCTGGATATTACTCAGGTCAAATCAATGATAACATCTCCGATATGGACATTTATATATCTGTACCATGTCTTCCAGGCACTGCTAGAAACACAACTAGTTTCGGTCCTTGTTTTCTATGCCCAGCAGGTACGAAAAATTCCGGCACATCGGGAATGGTGTGTGAACCTTGTATTGCCAATGATACTTTTTTATGTTTACGAGGTTCCTCAGGAGAAATTCCATTCATTAATATTACAAGTTATAATCAGTCAATTTCGTATCCTAAATCTCCTGAATTAGTTGCATATGACGATATACTCTTAGATCATATATTTAGTTTCATGGGAGCGCCATCGCATTGTTTGTTGATATCTCCACTCTTCTGGACCATATTAGCAATTGGAATTGGTTTGAGCATTTTTATCCTAATGTGTATTCTGATGTGTTTTCCTCAATGGGAATCGAAACGAACGTTTCTCAAAAGAGTTTTTCAACATTTAGATCTGATAGGTGAAGGTGAAATCTGGTTTGGCGGCCTAATGTTCTTCGCCATCGTCGTACTTCTTATATTTACTATTAAGTTATCAGTTTCTTTTAGTCATTTGTATCCAATCGAGACAATTGCACTTGACAGTAAAACAACAACCAATTGCGACAGAATTTATCCTAATAGTAAATTCAGTAGTATGCTTCAATTACTCTCGATGACGAAGCATGAAGATGAAGATCCGATGTTTTCGATGCTCGACGAGCAGAACGTTACTTTGACGGTGCATCTAATTGGTACTAGTTTTCCTTGTGAAAGTGTGACGACGCGACAAAATTTAGACCGAGGAAAGAAAATTCGATTGAATAATCTTGTTTGTTCGTATGACAGAAATTTAAGTATTCTCAGTCTATCAACAATATTACCAGAACATTTAATTACATTGCAATTCGATCTGATTGGACCGTATTTCGTGGGCGCAATTCGTCTTTGTTTTTCAGCTCCGTCGGATACTCGAGATGAGGAAAAATATACGTTACAACAACTGGAGTTTTGTCAACTCTTTTATGTAAATAACCAAACGTTGACGATGAATCCAATATTTGCTGTTAAAATGACTAAAATTGTCAACGAAACAGCTGGTTTTACAGTTGCTGACGACAATACTTTCAGCGGAAGATGGATTCCATCATTAACAATCGATACACTTACTGATACACTTCTCTTCAATGATAATGGTGAATACATTCGATACTTATTCGATCGTTTTACTCTTCTCATCGAAATCACTGAATCAGAATTTTTTGTTAAAAATATACAAGAACCAATTGCTCGACACACAGAAATCGTCTTACACACAATTCTGTTTTCGAGTATAATTATCATTGATTGTGAAATCATCTCATCTTCTTTGTTTTAGTCGTGTTTCTGGATCTGTTTGGTTTGATGTTTTTAATTGTTAAATTGGCGATCGTTCCATCGGTTGAATATATTCAACGGCGATTTTTTCCGAAGGGAAAACAGTCGTTGAAAGACAAGGCAATCTGCCCGGAAAGAACGCAGTCTTCTACTGAGGGAACTATTACACAACATCGGAACGATATTTCAATAGAGACACATATGTAAACAGAACTATCTTTAGTGGACAAGTCGAATATATTGCCTCAACCGATAAGTTCCCTTTAGTTTTGAAAAAATATTTCGATGATTAGTAGATATTGTATTTCAATACATAACAACCGCGCGAACTCTCTATCAGAGGAATTTCTTGTGTGAAAGTCGTTATAACTGCAATAAAATGTATTTATATTTTCACTCTTTGTTCATATTTTACAATAAACAAAATCTGAATCAAAATAGATCAGTATAAAGGCACAGTAACTGTTTAGACGGCTATCCTATATAACATTTTCTATGTTCGAAACCACCAAGGACAAGAACAACAATGTTGATAAGTTAGACGCAGCACGTCCTCAAGGTATGTTGCTTATAGTCGAGTAATTGTCGTCTTTCATCAGATATTTTGAAATGTACTTCGAGCGGAACATATTGAACTCGTCAAAATGCTTCTTAAAACTCATAACCAAACATATTAGAAATGGTCATAACACTGATTTTTATATTTTTTGTTTTTTTTGTTATTATTATGTCAGGCGGTTAGAGTAAGAAAAAAAGCAGTTACAACAATGCACATTTCATCACAACAGAGTAATATTTGCTGAAGTGTTTTTTTTGTTCTGACTGGGAAGAAATGTTTTACAAAAGCATTGGCAAAATATTAAATACCATACCACTTTTTTTTCTCATTTAGAACATCATGAGTACGTTTCAAGATGCGTTCGACAACAAAGTTCGTCATCTCATGGATAAGATGGACCAAGCTCGATCGTTGCTGCTGGAGAGCAATGAAAATTTTACTTTTCCCACTGTTGTGGTCGTCGGGGATCAATCCAGTGGTAAATCAACATTATTGGAATCTTTGTCTTTGGTTGAACTTCCCAAAGGTTCAGGTATTGTTACTCGGTGCCCGCTGGTACTACGCTTGCGTGAATCCGATGAACGACGTGTGTATCGATTGTATGAGAACAACGGCAAGGAGTTATTGAATGAGAAAGATTTGAATATTCCACAGTACATTGAACAAGAAACCATCAAATTAGCTGGCGATAGCAAAAACATCGTTCAAGACATGATTGAATTACAAGTTGAAGATCCTCATGTACGAAATTTAACTGTCGTTGATCTACCTGGTATAGCTCATACGGCTCTTGATGGTCAGCCGAAAGATATTCACGATCAAATCATTAAATTAATCCATCGTTTTATAAAGCCTGAAGAAAGTATTATTTTGTGCGTCTGGCCAGCGAATGTTGATATTGCAGTTGGTGAAGCTTTTGCACTAGCTCGCGAATTCGATCCATTGGGAAAACGAACGATTGGTGTTATAACGAAAACGGATCTGGCTACCGATCGCAGTAAACTCAAACAGCAACTTTTAATGACGGGACGCGATGTTATTCGTTTGAAATTGGGCTTTGTCGCTGTGCGCAACCGTAGTGCAGATCAAAAGCTTACCCTTGCCGAGGCGCGTGAGCAAGAAAAAAAATTTTTTCTTGAACACGAAGTATCGATGGTGGTCGATCCGAGTCATCTTGGTATAAACGCGCTTATCCACCGTTTATCGGATTTGTACTGTGAGCGGGTCAAACAAACTTTTCCAAAACTGAGAAAAGAAATTCAGGCAAGATTGATCACCGTTGAAGAACAATTAACAAAACTTCCACCTGAGTTCAAAACAAGCGCGGCTCGTGTCACTGCATATAATGAATTAGTCGATGTCTATATCGAAAAGATTTTAAAACCATACATTCACACGACTGATTATGGCCAACATCGTAGTATGGTTAATCGATTGCATCGAAAATTTCTGGAATATCGAGACGTAATAAGAAATCAAAGAAAAATGTTATACAAACCAGAATATCGGGCAAAGGTAGAAGAGCAAACATTGAACTATGCAGGTGAACAATTGCCAAATTTTGTAGCGAGTCCAGTTTTAAAACACTTCATCTGTAATTTACTAGACGAATTATGGGATTATACAAGTAAACTAATAAACGACTGTTTCCGGATAATGGGCTCATTGTTAGCCGGTGAAGAGCAACGCGCTCGCGAAAAAGAAGAGGATGTTTTATTGGTCAAACTACTGGGCTTGTTCCATAATGTAACCAGCACTTACTTGAATGAAAAAAAACAAGAAGTTCATGATCAATTAAAAGCCTTGCTGCAATTGGATCGAAACGATCCATATACAGTCAATACTTACTATATGGAAACTGTTGAGAAATATAAAGGAACGTTGGCGCAAGGTACTACCGGACACTTTGGGTCAACGCCGACAAGCAGTAGTACTAACATCGGCGATGATGACGATGAATTGGTATTCAATGCTACGACAATTGATCAACAAGCAGTAAAACATCTGCTGATTAGTTTGTATTCATACTGGAAATTATTAACAAAGCGTTTTGTGGACTATGCAACATTATCATTACGTGCAGGGTGTGTGTTTAATGTCTGCCCTGATATTCGCCATCGTCTACGACGAATTCCTGTAGAACGGCCGGATGCAGTTGATAAACATCTTTCTGATGATGACTTTATTCGCAACAGACGAGAGCAATTGACTAAAACGAAAGAACGCTTGACAAAGATTCATGACATATTTTATCAAGATGATGATGATACATTCATTGACAATGACAATGAGACAACTACAGATGCAACAGCGACAGAAAATCCGTCGCCCAAGACTCCAACAACGAGTTCAACTACCCTCAAAGACACTAGTAATACGAATGCTTCATCGACAAATGTTAAACCGACTGTGACAGTTGCTTCGGGTTTCCAATTTTCTACACCTAATCAATCCATTCCGTTATTCGCTGCTACTGCTGCTGCTACTACATCGCCACTTTTCAGTTTTGGCAGCCCATCAACGTCGAAGAAAGGTAGTTAAATTGTACGCTAAGCACTGACCGCGAAAAAGAATTTAGAATATTTTCAATGTCATAAGTAGTTTTCTTGATTTTCTTTTTGGAAATTATAAAAAATATAATCTCCTACAATATATTCCTTAATAGAAAATCATGGAACCATCTATGCATTTGAAGCCGTTGCTGGAAAAGAACCAATCAAAACTAAAAACCAGACTGTCATGACGATTAACACAAAACTCTATAATATTTCTGCAATGAGCGTTTATTGGAACGAATCTATGGAGGTTGCATTTCTCAGCATAACGCTATTGAAATATATAAATCTAGTTTTTTTGCAAAGGAATTACGCTACGAGGACTACAAGGCGCATCGCAAGTTCCCAGCTATGACTAGCGTGATGTCATCACCTTTCGGGTTTCAGACAGTGGTAAGAATTGCTATGTCAAATATTTCGCACACGCTCTGTGGTGACTTTATTCGTTCTTTAGCATTGTTTCAATGACAACAATTCATGAAAGTCATGAATTTCTTCTTGAATAGACGAAAGTATAGAAAAATGTTATCAGTCAACACACAGAAGAAAAACTGACATATTCATTTATCTTTTTGTCTGCTGCATGAGCTGACACATAGCCATTCGGCGAAAAGTACGTTGGAAAGAAAAACATTCCGTCGTTACGTCAGTGGGAAGATTGTTGCACACGCATGCAATTACATTTTTTTATTCGTTCTCTTGTTGTTAAGATATGAAGATTGCGTTGTTTGTCGATAAAAAATAAGAAAGGTTGTGTAAAATTGACTATTTCGTTTGTTAAGCAAGAATTTAAAACGAGCACGTCAGCTATGGAACGTTTTTTCGATGCAGAACATGAGGCTTTTCAACAACGTTCACTTCTTCCTGATTTAAATAACGATCAAATATTGTCATTAGAACAAGCTTGTGATCTATTCAAAAGACGCATAAAAAAGATTGATTCGATGATTAAAAGTGCCAAGAAAAATTCTTCCAATGTGAAACATAATCTGAGCATCGATGAAGCTGCTGCTATTTATCTCTTTACTATGGAACAAACTGAAGCAAAACATACTGTTTACAGTCAACTAAATCAAGCACTTCGCTCTGAGGACAATATTCATTTAGAACCTTGGTATCACTATTTCAGACTCCTGTCCATGGCCTTAGAGAAACTACCATCAACTAAATGTGTAGTTTATCGTGGTGTTAGAAACGATGTTCGGAAAAAATACGAGCAAGAGCACGTTTATTGGCGAGGTTTTAGTAGTTGTTTGAAGACACAGAAAAGTATAGAGAAGCAGCTCGGTAAAAAAGGTACACGTATTCTATTTGAAATCCATTGCATCAATGGAAAATCTATCGGTGAACTTTCCTGCCTCGATAAGAATGACGAAGTTATTCTGATGCCTAATATTTACTTGAGAGTATTGAGCAGAATTAAGCAACCAAACGGAGTACATGTTATTCGTTTGCAGGAAGAGTCAGATTCATATGATTCAGATAGCACGCCCACTAAACAGCCATCGATGACAAATCAATCCCATAGTAAGTTGCTTTGCATGCATAATAAATTCATATGAGTTTGTTCTAGCAGAAACACAGTGGTCAGGAGTGCATTCTGCTGGTGCATTTCGCGCAGGTTAGTTATAAACAATATCATATGACATCACATGAACGCAACATATTACTAGAGCATCCATGGCTCGACCGCCAATTTCATTCTCAAGGTAGTCGATCTATCGTCAAGCCAGATGAACTTCAAGATCGTATGGATGATCCTCCTGCGGATATTGATGGTGAAATCTACAATCGTATTCGCGGATCCATTGTTGCAATGTCGCTGGGTGANATGATCGTGATAAGATCTTGGGAAATACAAAAACTGTTTTAATAATAATCCTGATTACAAAATTGACCAGGACGGTACTAAAAACTTAACAGGATTTTCTCGCATGTATTTTTCTTGAAAGGATCCGGACAAAATCTTAGCAAGATCCTATAAGCTTGTGAGCCATCGTTTTCTACTTCTTAGATAACTGCTTTCTAAAGGAATCGGTCAGGATTTTTATCAGTTCTTGGAGGACTCTTGTACATATCTTTGTGGGTACTATCTAAAGGATCCTAAAAAGAATTTATTCAGTGAATCTTGACAGTTTCTTGACAAAACCTTGTTATAGGATGTTTTCAGTATTCCTTCAAAAATCTGGATAGGATCCGGCATCAACCTGAACACAGTTATGATTTATCGATCAGAATTATAATCTGTCAAGGAACCGTGAAAACTCTTGAACAGGATTTCGTCTGATCCTCGATTATCCTGTAATGAGGATCCTAGAAGGATTAAATCAATATCCTAATCAAAACTTGCCAAGAACTTGAATAAGGATCTTGTCAGGATATCAAATAAGATCCTCAGTTAAACCTGACAAGATCCTAGAGGTTGAGGATCCTGGAAGATCCGTGCAGGAATTCTAAAAGAATGATCAGGATTAAGACTAGGGTGGCATTGTTTTTATTATCCATGTACGTTAAAAATAGAACGCTAGAAGAAAAACAACGAATGAACTTTTGACTGAAAAAAGTACTTTTCTCTTCACAAAGGAGAAAATCTTTGGTAGATGTTGTTGTTTATGAGTCACTTATGACATTTTCACAGGATTAGTTTAGTTGATTGTCGAATAGCGTACAAGGTATTTTTTTTCCTGCAGATCGAGAGGTAAATACAATTTATTCAAGTCCGTAGAGAAACAAGCTCTGATAGTCTACCGATTCCATCAAGAAATTCTTTGATCGTCAAATGTAGAGGATATACATTTGTGTCGTTGAAGAGAAAAAAAAAGATTTTTTTTCTGTTTAACATTCTTCTATGGTGAGCTTCGTGGTCTGACGTTCGTTTCTGACTAATTCAAAAACATTTTCTTTTCTTCAATGACTTCATCGTCAGAAGAAAAAGAACAAACATTTCTTTAGCAATACGGTAGAGCATATAAAGCGACTGTGACAATATAGATTAACAATTTGAAATGTCGTTTCTCCTTAATCTATTCAATCACGGAGAGAGTAGCAAAGCTTATGATCAAATATATGGTGATAATTATCAAAACTACGGATATGATCAACCGCAACCCCATCACAAAGCATCATGGACACATGAACTTATAGGCGGCGCAGCCGGTTTTGCAGGTTAGATTTGTTGGTTAGATTTTAGATGATCGAAATCGTGTTTATTTAGCTATGAAAGCGTACGAAGATCATTGTCGCCGCGAAGGTCAACATGTATCTCACGCCTTCATGAAAGAGATGCTGGCAGGTTTTGCAGCTGCCGAAGTTGACAAACTATTTGAAACGAAAGGTTTAGACTTTCTCGATCGAGAAAAAGCTAAACGGCATGCAATTGAGCAAGCACATCATCTTGCCAATGAACGATACGGACAAGGTGGAACTTTTAATTATCAAAATGACCCGTATGGACCCGGCCCAAATCAGTATGGTCCAGGTCCAAATCAATATGGACCCGGGCCTAATCAATATGGTCCAGGTCCAAATCAATACGGGCCCGGGCCTAATCAATACGGACCCGGACCTAATCAGTATGGTCCAGGTCCAAATCAATACGGTCCCGGACCTAATCAGTATGGTCCAGGTCCAAATCAATACGGTCCCGGACCTAATCAGTATGGTCCAGGTCCGAATCAGTACGGAATGGGACCTAATCAGTATGGACCCGGACCCAATTTTTATCAGCAACAGGGAGGACCGAACTACCAATAATAGATTATATTACTTTTCTTTACTGTACATAATAAACATAATAAAAAAAAAGTAAAAGAAAGATTTTGCTCATTCCAAACATTTTCTCTATATTGAAAATGTGATCATATTCTTTTAATAAAAACATGTAGAAGAGTTAATATTGAATGAAGAACCGAACAAGATAAAATACTGTAGGAGTTAAGTATGATCAAAAGAAAAGTACATCAATATTTGACAATCCTTCGCAGTATAATCTTAAGCAGACTATAAATCATTGTATAAAAAAAAGGTGTTATAAAACCTGTTTCATTCATATCAATGAAGATGATATAGTTGCATTCAAAGCGTACAAATACCATTCTATTGAAAACAAAGGTTATGAACATCTTATCTTATATCATTATTGTTCAGTTAGGTACATATATTCATGGACAATTCATACGTCCTCCACCTAACTTAGATGAATACGATGCATACGGATCACTTTTGGCTATGAATGAATATTTAGTTGTCTTAGCTCAAAATGATCAAGAGCAGTTTACGATTGTTACCTATCCATTTACGAATCAATCGAACAAATGTGTTTTACCTTACGACTCAGCGCAAGGAAGCATTTCTTCGTTGACCCGCTTTGTTTATAATGTTGCCATGGGAACGAAACAAAATGCAAGTCAATTAATATTTTCTTACATTAACGAAAACTGGCATCGAGATGTATTTTTAACTGTTGTCTTTCTCGAATTTACGAGCAATGGTTGTGTTCAAATGATCAATCGAACTGCAATCAACATGACAGATCTCAACATGCAGGAACATGCTATTGTCGGCATGGATCCATATGGGGAACGAGCATATGCGATAGGTACATATTATATTCAGTGTATCGAAATTAGTAGCGGCAATCGATGGACGATAAATACTGAAGAATTGTTCTTTCCGAAATCATCCGTGATGACTGAGGATCATCAGATCTTCGTCGTTGGTCAGAGATATGTAAATCTGAAATTTCTTCCTTATCTTTACGTGCTGAATGTAACTTCACTTGCAAACGTGACGATATCGTCTACTATTGAATTATCCAGTTTTAATTTTGGATCTTCTGCAATCGATTTTACTCGAGATTCAACCATGTCTATCGCTCTTGTCGATGAAGTTCGATGGTTTGTTATCGGCATTCCTCGTTTGGATATGTTTCTAGTATTGTCACGAGAACTCTCAATTCTTCAAAAACATATTTCATCACAACGCGGGATCGATTTTGGTAAATCTGTTGCAATACTCGACAACAATACATTTGCTGTTCTTGCTTATAAACTTCAAACTCCACCCTGGTCGACATCACAAGTACAAGTAAGTCAAACATTTAAGATGAAATCTTCAAAAACTCAATTTGTTTAGATCTATTCTCTCGATTCTGAAGAATCAGACACCCAACCAATAATCATATATCCGAACAATCAACAGGTTCTACCCACTGTGAATTCTATACCGCCTCCACACAGTATTTTGACGCTGGTTTCTTGGAAATTTCATCTAGGATTGGTAGTTGACGTTGGCGCTGCTCTTCTTATCTTTGCTAGTTCACCTGGATATTACTCAGGTCAAATTAATGATAAAATCTCCGATATGGACATCTATATATCTGTACCATGTCTTCCGGGCACTGCTAGAAACACAACTAGTTTCGGTCCTTGTTTTCTATGTCCAGCAGGTACGAAAAATTCCGGCGCATCGGGAGTGGTGTGTGAACCTTGTATTGCAAATGATAGTCTTTTATGTTTACGAGGTTCCTCAGGAGAAATTCCATTCATTAATATTACAAGTTATAATGAATGGAATTTCTCCTGAGGAACCTCGTAAACATAAAAGACTATCATTTGCAATACAAGGTTCACACACCACTCCCGATGCGCCGGAATTTTTCGTACCTGCTGGACATAGAAAACAAGGACCGAAACTAGTTGTGTTTCTAGCAGTGCCCGGAAGACANGGTGCATCTCATTGGTACCGGTTTTCCTTGTGAAAGTGTGACAACGCGACAAAATTTAGACCGAGGAAAGAAAATTCGATTGAATAATCTTGTTTGTTCGTATGACAGAAACTTAAGTATTCTCAGTCTATCAACGATATTACCAGAACATTTAATTACATTGCAATTCGATCTAATTGGACCGTATTTCGTGGGCGCAATTCGTCTTTGTTTTTCAGCTCCGTCGGATACTCGAGATGAGGAAAAATATACGTTACAACAACTGGAGTTTTGTCAACTCTTTTATGTGAATAACCAAACGTTGACGATGAATCCAATATTTGCTGTTAAAATGACGAAAATTGTTAACGAAACAGCTGGTTTCACGGTTGCTGACGACAATACTTTCAGTGGAAGATGGATTCCATCATTAACAATCGATACACTTACTGACACACTTCTGTTCGATGAAAATGGTGAATACATTCGATATTTATTCGATCGTTTTACTCTTCTCATCGAAATCACTGAATCGGAATTTTTTGTTAAAAATATACAAGAACCAATTGCTCGACACACAGAAATCGTCTTACACACAATTCTGTTTTCAAGTATAATCATCATTGATTGTGAAATCATCTCAGCTTCTTTGTTTTAGTCGTGTTTCTGGATTTGTTTGGTTTGATGTTTTTAATTGTTAAATTGGCGATCGTTCCATCGGTTGAATATATTCAACGGCGATTTTTTCCAAAGCGAAAACAGTCGCTGAAAGACAAGGAAACCGACCCGGAAAGAACGCAGTCTTCTACTGATGGAACTATTACACAATGTCGGAACGATATTTCAATAGAGACACATATGTAAACAGAACTATCTGTAGTGGAGAAGTCGAATATATTGCCTCAACCGAAAAGTTCTCTTTAGTTTTGAAAAAAATACTTCGTCTCTATTAGAGGAGTTTCTTGTGTGAAAGTCGTTATAACTGCGCAATAAAATGTATTTATATTTTCACTCTTTTTCTACAATAAACAAAATTTGAATCAAAATAGATCAGTATAAAGGCACAGTAACTGTTTAGACGGCTATCCTATATAACATTTTCTATGGGTCGTATTTAACTGGTCAGTATTTTATTGTGAATGGTCAGTATTTTTTTGTGAAAAATCAGTATTTTTTTGTGAAAAATCAGTATTTTTTTGTGAAAAATCAGTATTTTTTTGTGAAAAATCAGTATTTTATTGTAAATGATCAGTTCTATAAATTGGCCAGTAAATAATTCATTCTTGGTCAGTAGAAAAATCGCTTTTGGTCAGTACAAAGTGAACCATGACCCGTAGAAAATTTATTGCAAATCAATCATTAAACTAACACCCCGACCTCAGCCAATCTCACCCACACCCTCACCACACCCTCAATGCTTCTTAAAAGTTATAACTAGACATATTAGAAACGGTCATAACACTGATTTTTATATTTTTTTGTTTTTTTATTATTACTATACTAGACGGTTAGAGTAAGAAAAAAAAGAAAATACAACAATGCACATTTTATCGCAACAGAGTAATATTTGTTGAAGTGGCTTTTTTTTCTTTTTCTGACTGGGAAGAAATGTTTTACAAAAGCATTGGCAAAATATTAAATACCACATCACTTTTTTTTGCATTTAGAACATCATGAGTACGTTTCAAGATGCGTTCGACAACAAAGTTCGCCATCTCATGGATAAGATGGACCAAGCTCGATCATTGTTGCTGGAGAGCAATGAAAATTTTACTTTTCCCACTGTTGTGGTCGTCGGGGATCAATCCAGTGGTAAATCAACGTTATTGGAATCCTTGTCTTTGGTTGAACTTCCCAAAGGTTCAGGTATTGTTACTCGGTGCCCGCTGGTACTACGCTTGCGTGAATCCGATGAACGACGTGTGTATCGATTGTACGAGAACAACGGCAAGGAGTTATTGAACGAGAAAGATTTGAATATTCCACAGTACATCGAACAAGAAACCATCAAATTGGCTGGCGATAGCAAAAACATTGTTCAAGACATGATTGAATTACAAGTTGAAGATCCTCATGTACGAAATTTAACTGTCGTCGATCTACCTGGTATAGCTCATACGGCCCTTGATGGTCAGCCGAAAGATATTCACGACCAAATTATTAAATTAATCCATCGTTTTATAAAGCCTGAAGAAAGTATTATTTTGTGCGTCTGGCCGGCGAATGTTGATATTGCAGTTGGTGAAGCTTTTGCATTAGCTCGCGAATTCGATCCATTGGGAAAACGAACGATTGGTGTTATAACGAAAACGGATCTGGCTACCGATCGCAGTAAACTCAAACAGCAACTTTTAATGACTGGACGCGATGTTATTCATTTGAAATTGGGCTTTGTCGCTGTACGCAACCGTAGTGCAGATCAAAAGCTTTCTCTTACCGAGGCGCGTGAGCAAGAAAAAAAGTTTTTTCTTGAACACGAAGTATCGATGGTGGTCGATCCGAGCCATCTTGGTATAAACGCGCTTATCCACCGTTTATCGGATTTGTACTGTGAGCGGGTCAAACAAACTTTTCCAAAACTGAGAAAAGAAATTCAGGCAAGATTGGTTAACGTTGAAGAACAATTGACAAAGCTTCCACCTGAGTTCAAAACAAGCGCGGCTCGTGTTACTGCGTATAATGAACTAGTCGATGTCTATATCGAAAAGATTTTAAAACCAAACATTCACACGACTGATTATGGTCAACATCGCAGTATGGTTAATCGATTGCATCGAAAATTTCTGGAATATCGAGACGTCATAAGAAATCAAAGAAAAATGTTATACAAACCAGAGTATCGGGCAAAGGTAGAAGAACAAACATTGAACTATGCAGGTGAACAATTGCCAAATTTTGTAGCAAGTCCAGTTTTAAAACACTTCATCTGCAGTTTACTAGACGAATTATGGGATTATACAAGTAAACTAATAAACGACTGTTTCCGGATAATGGGCTCATTGTTAGCCGATGGAGAGAAACGCGTTCGCGAAAAAGACGAGGATGTTTTATTGGTCAAACTAATGGGCTTGTTCCATAATGTAACCAGCACTTACTTGAATGAAAAAAAACAAGAAGTTCATGATCAATTGAAAGCTTTGCTACAATTGGATCGAAACGATCCATATACAGTCAATACTTACTATATGGAAACTGTTGAGAAATATAAAGGAACGTTGACGCAAGGTACTACCGGACACTTTGTGTCAACGCCGGCAAGCAGTAGCATTAACATCGGCGATGATGACGATGAATTGGTATTCAATGCTACGACAACTGATCAACAAGCAGTAAAACACTTGCTGATTAGTTTGTATTCATACTGGAAATTATTAACAAAGCGTTTTGTGGACTATGCAACACTAGCATTACGTGCAGGATGTGTGTTTAATGTCTGCCCTGATATTCGCCATCGTCTACGACGAATTCCTGTAGAACGGCCGGATGCAGTTGATAAACATCTTTCTGATGATGACTTTATTCGCAACAGACGAGAGCAATTGACTAAAACGAAAGAACGCTTGACAAAGATTCATGACATATTTTACCAAGATGATGATGATACATTCATTGACAATGACAATGAGACAACTACAGATGCAACAGCGACAGAAAATACTTCGCCCAAGACTCCAACAACGAGTTCAACTACCCTCAAAGATACTAGTAATGCGAACGCTTCATCGGAAAATGTTAAACCGACTGCGACAGTTGCTTCGGGTTTCCAATTTTCTCCACCTAAGCAATCCATTTCGTTATTCGCTGCTACTGCTGCTGTGCCATCCACCAGCATATTTGGTGTTGCTACTACATCGCCATCTTTCAGTTTCGGCAGTCCTCCAAAGTCGAAGAAAGGTAGTTAAATTGTACGCTAAGCACTGACCGCGAAAAAGAATTTAGAATATTTTCAATGTCATAACTAGTTTTCTTGATTTTCTTTTTGGAAATTATGAAAAATATAATCTCCTACAATCTATTCCTTAATAGAAAATCATGGAACCATCTATGCATTCGAAGCCGTTGCTGGAAACGACTTAATGAGAAATAGAAACCAGACTCTCATGACGATTAACACAAAACTATATAATATTTCGGCAATGAGCGTTTATCAGAACGAATCTATGGAGGTTGCATTTCTCAGTATGACGCTATTGTAGTATATAAATCTAGTTTTTTTGCAAAGGAACTACGCTACGAGGACTACAAGGCGCATCGCAAGTTTCCAGCTACAACTAGTGTGATGCCATCACCTTTCGGGTTTCAGACAGTGGTAAGCATTGCTACGTCATATATTTCGCACGTGCTCTGTGGTGACTTTATTCGTTCTTTAGCATTGTTTCAATGACAACAATTCACGAAAGTCATGAATTTCTTCTTGAATAGACGAAAGTATAGAAAAATGTTATCAGTCAGCACACAGAAGAAAAACTGACATATTCATTTATCTTTTTGTCTGCTGCAAGGGTTGACAGACAGCCATTCAGCGAAAAATACGTTGGAAAGAAAAACATTCCTTCGTTACGTCAGTGGGAAGATTGTTGCACACGCATGCAATTACTTTTTTTTATCCGTTCTCTTGTTGTTAAGATACGAAGATTGCGTTGTTTGTCGATAAAAAATAAGAAAGGTTGTGTAAAACTGACTATTTCGTTTGTTAAGCAAGAATTTAAAACGAGCACGTCAGCTATGGAACGTTTTTTCGATGCAGAACATGAGCCTTTTCAACAACGTTCACTCCTTCCGGATTTAAATAACGATCAAATATTGTCATTAGAACAAGCTTGTGATCTATTCAAAAGACCCATAAAAAAGATTGATTCGATGATTAAAAGTGCCAAGAAAAATTCGTCCAATGTGAAACATAATCTGAGCATCGATGAAGCTGCTGCTATTTATCTCTTTACTATGGAGCAAACTGAAGCGAAACATACTGTTTACAGTCAACTAAATCAAGCACTTCGCTCTGAGGACAATATTCATTTAGAACCTTGGTATCACTATTTCAGACTCCTGTCCATGGCTTTAGAGAAACTACCACCAACTAAATGTGTAGTTTATCGTGGTGTTCGAACCGATGTTTGGGAACAATACGAGCAAGAGCACGTTTATTGGCGAGGTTTTAGTAGTTGCTCGAAGACACAGAAAAGTATAGAGAAGCTACTCGGTAAAAAAGGTACACGTATTCTATTTGAAATCCATTGCAACAATGGAAAATCTATCGGTCAACTTTCCTGCCTCGATAAGAATGACGAAGTTATTCTGATGCCTAATATTTACTTGAGAGTATTGAGGAGAATTAATCAACAAAACGGAGTACATGTTATTCGTTTGCAGGAAGAGTCAGATTCATATAATTCAGATAGTACGCCCACTAAACAGCCATCGATGACGAATCAACCTCATAGTAAGTTGCTTTGTATGCATAATAAATTCATATGAATTTGTTCTAGCAGAAAAACAGTGCTCAGGAGTGCATTCTGCTGGTGCATTTCGCGCAGGTTAGTTATAAACAATATCATATGACATCACATGAACGCAACATATTACTAGAGCATCCATGGCTCGACCGCCAATTTCATTCTTCGAAAGGTAGTCGGTCTATCGTCAAGCCAGACGAACTTCAAGCTCGTATGGATAATCCTCCGGCAGATATTGATGGTGAAATCTACAATCGTATTCGTGGATCCATTGTTGCAATGTCGTTGGGTGATGCTCTTGGTGCACATGTAGAGTTTAGGCCGCGAGAATTTCTTGTACAGAATCCAGTCAAACACTTAAAAGGAGGAGGAACGTGGGGCCTAGAAAAAGGACAGGTAATGTGTATCATAACCAATAGAACTGATTGTGATTTCATATTCTACAACTGAATTTTAGTTCACTGATGATACATCGATGGCTTTGTGTTTAGCTTGTTCATTGATAGTTCGCCACGGTTTCGTCCCTTATGACCAATTAGTTCGTTATAAGTGGTGGTACAAAGATGGTTATATGTCATCAACAGGCGTGTGCTTTGATATAGGTGCTGCTACCCGACAATCAATAACTGAATTTGAACGGCGTCAAAAGAAATTTGCAGTTGAGTATGGCATTTCTCCCGACGAACTAGATTTTCTCTCAGATCACGAGTTACTTGAAAAGTTTGATGTATACTGCAGTGAATACGGTGTGGCTGGTAATGGAGCCTTAATGCGCTTAGCACCTGTTCCTCTCTTCTTTTATAATTATCCAGAATATGCCGTTGAATTCTCGGGTAGAAGTGGGATGATTACTCATGGTGATCGAAAAGCTTATGATGCTTGTCGTTATTATGGCGCTCTAATCGTAGCTGCTCTTCAACGTGAATCCAAAGACGAATTACTTAGCGCGAATTTTTATAGAGAACACATCACATGGTTCAATAATATGCGCCTATGTGAGGAAATTGAGGAAATTATGCAAGGTTCATACAAGGGAAAAAGCGGATACGAAGAAGGAATCCGAGGCAAAGGATACATTGTCAACGCCCTAGAAGCTGCTCTGTGGGCCTTCTACAATGATAAGGGTTCGTTTAAAAAGGGTGCACTCGCTGCAGTGAACCTCGGCGATGATACAGATACAACCGCTGCGATCTATGGTCAACTGGCTGGTGCCTACTATGGCTTTCATGAACTACCAGAGAAGTGGACAAGCGAGGTGTACGCGAACAAATTTCTGAAGTGCGTGAGCAAGTGGATAACTTATGAAGGAAATAATTGGCGACCGGAACGACCGTTTGTGACAAGTTTGCGATCACCGTTTTCTCAAGCGAATGATTTTGTAACAACACGTCGTTCAGAGAACGCTGATGCGGATGTCATGTCACATCCAACACCAGATACTGAAGTGCTAAGAGAACCTCCGAAAGCACCGCATAAGCCGAAAAGATCCCGTCGAACTTCAGAAGAAAAATCAAATAGAGATCTCGCACAGGAAAAAATTCTCGTATCAAATGACGCATCAGAGAGTGTAACACCACGAAGATCCCATGGAAAGTCGCGTCCAGAAACGGGTCGTTCTAAATCCGTGCGTTGTTCTCAGTCAAGATCTTTATCACAAATGAACAATGACAGACCTGTGAGTGCGTCAAAACCTAATAAATCCGGAGCAAAATGAACACTTCACATATTTTCTCTCCCCCTGAACTATTTAAATCGCTGTTAATTTTTTACCACTATATCACGAATAAATCAGAACATATCCAAGTATAATAACTTGTTTCTGTGTAAAGGCGCGACTGATACAGTAACTAGATCAAAACAAATAATGTAAACCACCTTCATATTAAGTAATGGGTGTGTGTTTCGTATTGAAACAAGCGTCGCTAACTTTGTTAACTCAGTCGCTATTCAATTAGAAAATATAGATGAGTCATTTAGCGAAGATATTCTCTTCCACAGATTTATTTCAAACAAGCTACCTGAGATGCATCAAGTTTTGCACTTTAATGGATGTCTTTTTAATCTACGTTTATAACTAGCAGTAGAATATATTAATTATCCTTCCCTACATGTCACTCTTCGAGAACGAGTATAATAAAGAAATTTATATGAATTTTATACATCCGTTAAACACAATGTTTTCCAACAGAAAACATCATCCATCGCAACTCGATGAACACGGAGAGAGAAATTTGAGGTACCTTTTCATGTGGAAAAGAAAGGCAAATAGCTCAAAGCCGATTTCTGTGCACAAGAACGGCTTTTTCCCCAATAAAACCCATAATTTTCTCGTTCCATACGACACAAATGGCATCATTAGCTACCATAATACCTATTTTCAGCATTACCAGTTACTTCGTAATCTTAATCTTCGGAACAGTTGGAAACATTCTAAACCTTACCACGTTACTATCCAAAGATTTCCGAACAAAACCATGTCTGTTTTACATGACATGTGCCTCGTCACTCGATTTATTCTTCAGTAATTTTGGTATTATACTTCGCTTTTCCACGGAACACTTTGGAAACAATTCGAGTCTAATCAATCGTGGTGTTTGCAAAGCACGTGCGTATTTTCTCGTTTGTCTGCCTGCAATGGCATCTACATGTATTCTATTAGCAACATTCGACCGGTGTATATCGACATCAGCAAATGCTCGCTGGCAACAACTTAGTTCAATTTGGTTTGCTAAACGTCTATTCATCATAACTATGCTTTTTCTTTTGACTTCCAGTGTTTTTCATTTGATTATATTCGATATTCGAAACGGTGTATGCGCACCGTCATCTAGTTTCGAGACGATTTTAGTCGCGGTTTATGGCAATATCTTTGCTTTTCTTATTCCTAATGGTGGAGTATTGTTTTTTGGTAGTTATACATGGATTAATTTGAGACAATTAAGAAGTCGAGTCGATCCAGTTTGTGTCTTAAATACACAATCACGATCTGCTCGACGAATGGATCGACAATTGTTCCGTTTAACATTTGCACATGCATTATTTTCGACTGTGCTGACTCTACAACGAGGTTTTACATATACATACACTGTAATTACTAGTTCGGCACAGAAGAGCGTTGAACGACAACAAATCGAATATCTTATTCTGCAAATAAGCGTTATTTTATATTATATGAACTTTGGTGTAGCTTTCTATGTGAATTACGCTTTCAGTAAGATGTTTCGAAAAAAAGTACACAGATCTGTTCGTTTATTTATGAAGAGATGCTTAAATATCCACGAATAAATAAAAACCATCTGAGAAATTTCTACTTCTATAGATTAAAAAAAAACTGTTTTCATCTCTGCTTGTTTGGAAGACAACCTCTGTAATAAAGAGTGAGGACCAAGGCGTGAAAATAGTTGCAAGACGATAAATATTCGGCATAACGCCGAAAACTGATCTGACTGTCGGATTACAACTTTGATCGTCAGGGCGATGGTAAAACAGAACATTTTCATGCTGATTTGATTTCTGTTTTTCATTAACGTCATTCTGACAAGTTTAGGTAAGTGAGAGAAAAGTCGTTACTACCAAGACGATAAATAACACACTCATTGAAACTGCTCTCTTTCCTCAATAGCAAACGAGTAGATTATTCTCTACCATGAAGTATTTTACCTGCGATTGAGTATCTCTATCAATGGCAAAACAAAAAAATACCACTATTGTCGTCTATTTCTACATAGCGTTAGTGAAGTATGTTAAGCCCATATAGATCGTGGTTCTCTTTGATCCTGTGACAGTATGATTCGACTGCCTTTTTGCCGTGCTTACTTTCGAAACGCATTTTCATTGGACCTTTCCTTGTTATGTATACATTCTAATGTGAAGTAGAACACTTGTGTTATGAATGATTACTGCTCGGTAAACAGAAAGTAAACTTTATGCCTCGCTGGCGATTGAATAGTGCGTCGTTTCGGCATATACTTGTCATGCCATTTGTACCTGATATACATACACATAGTCCCATAAGTAGAATCACAAGAAAATACAATACGGAGTTCATGTTTTTTCTAAAAATTTCGTTGTAATCATCTATGCAACATGCTATCTAATAACGTACCTTTTACTTGTGTGCTCTGACCAAAATCAAAAGTAATTTCACCCTCAACTTTCACAAGATCAGTATAATTCTTCTCTCATCAGACAAACAACTTTGTTTCTCCGTGTGAATACAATTCACTTTCATTCATGACATCTAATGGCAAACAGTCGAAATCTGCACTGACACAGGTTGAAATTGAACTCACTATCGTGTCCGTTCGTATTTCTCCAATCATGATCCTGATAGATTTTATTTCTTCTACGCGACTGAAAAACCATTCAGCAATTTTCATCCCTGTTCAATCACCGATGGAAATCTCAAGTTTCATTCAAGTGGACAATATATGACGTTCCAGAAAGCGAGTAAATACTTATTCTACTAATCAATGAAAACCAGTCTTACCATCATTCAATTTCAGGAGTGTTTAACGCTGAAAATATGGCTCGAAAAATCCTCAGAGCTGAAACACCTGGCAAGTGTAAAGTATTATAGGACGTGCAGTGAAAAACTTCGATCAACAAATCTGGCACGAAGATCGTACGCGAATTGTTTCTGATGCAATCTACTTCAAAGTAAGATTGCCGTTCACGGAAGGATAAAACTCAGTAGAATTTGTGTTTTAGTTTACACAAAATAAACAATTGAAACGAGCACTGTTGACATATCGCCATTGCTTGTTTGTAGAAGCAGCAGCAAACGATTGTATTTGGGTTGTTATGGTTTACGTGAGACAGATCCATTAATAAGAACACGTGCTAGTTGGCGAGGACTTAATCTTTTAGGTTATATATTCTTACTGATATTGTACATCGAATCTATGAGGAGGACAACATATCGTCGACGCACTTATGAATAGATTAACTACTTAATGAAAAAGAATAAACGTTATCATAGTTTGGTTTTTTCCAACTTCACTCGTTTCTCTCTGATAATTTTGTAAGAGATATGACTCATGACAGAAACAGTAAGTTTAAAACTGTTTTATTGATTCATGCAAAAAATATATGTACGGATGAATCCTAATGTTTAAAATATGATTGTACCATTCGAGAAGGCGAGTCAAGAAAAGACTACACCATTGAGCCGTTTGATAAAATTCGAACTTAACTAACAACCAAAAAAACCATTGTACAGGTTTCGTAATAACATGCATCACACTATGAGAATATGTTCCATAACACGAAGCTATTAGATCGTTGACCACAACAGTGCCTTCAAGAGTGAGAATTGTATATACACTCTCATTTATCATGGTATGTCTTTCAATTCGAATAATTTGATCAAGGATTATGTTGAATGAAGATGAAATAAAAACGTAATCTCCAATGGTAGCTTCTGATGCTTTAATATATGTATTGTCTGTTTCATATTGTTTGCGTACGCGCAAGAAATGCGCGGGTGTAAGACGGAGAACAGTAGTTGTTGTGTATAAATTGATCAAGTCAATGATTGGCACATGAAGATGGGTGAGAATTGCCAATACCGAACTCGATTTTATACGATCACGATCAGACACGAGTACTCTATCTCCAATATGTATACGAGATATTGAACGATAACTACCGTCTTCAAGTGTAACATTGGTGTTTTTCGAAAAACACTTGCATGAATCTGAAATATTTACAATGCATCTTTTTTAGATAGAGGTTGTTTATAGTACAAATTTACCACAACAAGTACAATGTGTAGTTGCTGTTGTTGTACTGGTGGTGGTGGTGGTTGTCGTCGTCGTTGTTGTCGTTGTGGTAGTGGTGGTGGTTGTTGTTGTTGTTGTTGTTGTAACAACAGGTTTATCCTCACATGGAGATAATATAACAAACTTAATCATGACACTGAGAACGACAACGAAAATCGTGAGAAATAATAGTATACATATCGTGATTTTTGGCCATCTAATTGGTTGATGATGGCATTGAAAATTCATGTTAGCCTCTGCGACTCTCATTTTTTATTACACTGCGTCGCTTCTAAGAGATATTTACCAGGTAAGACAAAGGTTTCTATTCAAATATACTATCTGTATTTTTATGATAGGTCCTTATCAGTTTTGTATTCATTACATACTTCACATGATAAGTATTTATATATATATATATATATATATATATATAATGATTGAAGCATAGTCATGAAATTGAATGTAAAAAAAAAGTAACTAAAAGACGATTACTTATTTGTATTCAATATGTTTAGTAACTGTGGAAGATGGGTGAAGAATTTATATGAGAAGGCGTTCGATTTTGGATACAGTAACAATGATGACTATTGGTAAGCTGATATACGACTCATTGTCATTTCCATTAAACTATATCGACTCTGTAGCTGTGCCAGGTATCCCTTGTCACATCCAAATATTTCCCATCAAGTAAGTTTATTTTTGCATATGAAGAGTCCACGAAAAATTAGTTTTATCCCGGTGTATTTTATATTTAATCTATAAAATCCTTTAGGCCCTTTACTCCCTTTAATCCAGCGAACCCTCGCCCTCATCTACACCTTTCACTCAGACCCTCACCCACACCCTCACACCCTCACCCTCACCCACACCCACCCTCATTCTCACACTCTAAGACGACTAAAAGGACTAAAAAACTTCATAAATTATATATAAAGTTACACTAGGATAAAAATAATTTTTCGTGGACCTATGTTGCATATTTACATTTCTCTGTGCGTACACACCTTGATTTCGTTTTTAGTCCTCCAGGATCTCTACAATTTCAAGAGAATCGAACCAAGTTTTAGCGATACCCTGTGAGTTCTGCAATGTTTTATGGGATTCTAATCTGTTATATTTGCATCAAGTAAAAAACCTTATAAAACAGATGTATAACTTGTAATAAGACTTTTTTTCTAGGCGCAATGCCCACAAAATCCTGCAAATTCACCTAGACCATCGGCTCCCATTGGTTCTCATCGAGCGTCTAGAAGTACTCGAGATTCTTCTCCTTCTCGTTTCACCAATATGAACGTTCCTAGTTCGATTTCTTCTCGCACTAATCATTTAGATCCTCCACGATGTCCTATCACGCAAGAACCTTTTACTGATCCAGTTCTCGCTGAAGACGGCCATACGTATGAAAGAGAAGCAATTGAACGATGGATAAGAGAAAATGGCACTAGCCCAATCACACGACTGCCTATAAGTATTGATGGACTTCGTCCTAATCTGGCAATTAGGCAAATAAATGAGGAAATGCGCAATAGAGATGCTCGGACAAATCGTCAATGATTCAGCAGCACATAGTAATCGGTGATAAATGTCAAACCATCACATAGTTTGAATAAAAATTATTCTTATGTATTTATTAAGCAACTTTCCGAGTAAAATCAAAGTATATAGAAAAAAATATATAAGCATCTATCTTGCAGTTACATATGACAGCAAACTTAGTCGGCCGTCTGATGTAATCCCATCCATAATCAGCGAAATTTCTAACTTGAAAAGATGAAGCAGCTAATTTTGTTGTTTGTACTTGGATAGAAGTGCCTTCTGTCTCACATTTCTCTCTTTAAACAACTAATTGGATATATTAGATTCAATCCTACATATGATGTTAAACAGAACGTTCAACTATCGTCTACTCAAACACTAGGAAAATCTCATGGTGAACGTCTCGTTCGACCAGTTGCACATTTTCAAGTGCAATGGACGATCTTTTTGGAATGCACGAAACATAGTTCAATTCAGGGTTCGACATTTGTTCAATTACGAGAAAAGATACGTCGGTTTTGAAAAGCAAAACAATATTCTATCGACATCACAATAAACACTATCTAAAAACTCCCGTTTGATCCATCTTGAGGGTGTGAGTAAGAATAGCTGCAAAACAATAAATATTCGTCATAACGTTGAAAACTGATCTGACTGTTGAATTACAGTCTTGGCCGTCGGAACTATGACAGAAAAGAACATTTTCATGTTTATTCATTTCTGGTTTTCATTAAGGTCATTTCGATAAGTATGAGCGAGTAATAGAAAAGTCGTTACTACCAAGACGATGAATGCCATCCTCATTGAGACTACTGAATTACTTAGAAGAAATCTTGCTTTCAAAGTCATCAACGTATTAGAGATTTACTTGGTAATTCGTTGTTCATGAGAAGAAAAACAATACTTAGAATATCGAAACGGTTGATTATTATCATAGTGAGGACTCTTTTGAGAATATAGATTAAAATTTATGTCTAGCATGGAGCGTGCTATTTAATATTACTCTCTCTGTTCACACATTTATTTTCTGATATAAAAATGTTTCCATCGAAGTAGATTTATATAGTTACCACCATAGATAACTATTACAATAAGAAATCATGTTGATGGAAACTTCATCTTCTTGTCTAACTTCTTTGATAATATTGATTAATTTTTCATCCCAAATGTCACTTGTACTTCGAATACATACCGAGTGCAAATAACGATTGTTTTCGTTTCCAGTTACTAAACACTTGAGAATTGATTGAAGTTCTTCTTGAGTTACACTTATAGTCAAATATTCCAATCGACGGAAAAACTTAAGCAACAATTGAACATCGTCGAGTGTGCACGATTGAATATTCACACATTGAATTATGTTCTTACATGCAAATTCTTGAACATTGTCAAATGATTCGTTCGAGAACGAAGCTTGTTCATTGAATGACAAACATGGAAGTGTCAAATATTTGCAATTTGGAGTGAAAAGTAGCATTTTCGCCACGTTCGTAAAACAAATATAATCAGTGATCGTTATCTTCGTTATTCCAAATAGAGGAATGATATTGGTGGAGATTTTTGCAATGAAATCATGCGAGATGTCAAGATCTTTGCCGAAAGTGAGTTCAGTTGCATTCGGGATGTTAATTGAATGATTAGCAATGGCGAGTTCATGGTCGATATGAATATGACGAACCGAGTCGAAACGATTTTCTGAAGAACTACACTGACTCTCCACGCCTGTCAACGTATATTCTTTTCTCCTATAAAGTACAACATACTTTCATTCAAAACTGCCGGAAGTATGTTTGGTTTTACTTACCGGTACGGTTGTATGGAATAGAAAAGTGCTTCATTTGGGTATTCCGAGCAATAGTGTGTATGTGTAAAGAACCACTTTCGTTCTATCCAAAATAAACCTGTAAACGGCTCCATTAACTGCCGGCATTGAACAGGTCCAGATAGAAGTATTGTGTGTTGAAGATCGAAGATGCGCAAGTTCGGCATGTGAGTTATGATTAGATGTTCCCATCTTTGCGCATTTGCAAATTGTCTATCCATATGTGTGGAAAGATGTAAAACTCGAAGATTGGTGAAAAAAAGTTTGAAAAATGGTTCGAATTCATCGAAATTAATGTACTTGAGTTTGAGCGAAACATGAGTAAGATCGTGCAATGTTAAGCGCAATGTTTCGCGATAGAAACTGAAGGTTGAAATGACGCATTTGATCGATAAACGACGAAGATGTGGCACATGGGATAAAAGACGCGCAAGTTCTTGAAGATATATGCAAGAATCAATAACCAAGTGTTCAATAGGACTCAGTATGTCACTTTCAGTCATGAGCAGACCGTGTGGTGTGTCGTCGGTATCATTAATTGAAATTTTACAGTATTTCAATGATGATAAACGAAATATGCTATTGTAGATTAGATTTTTATCATAACATTTGTTAATCGAAGAAATAATTAATGTGGAAAGTTGCGGTAAGAGGGATAAATAATCGAAAAGTTCATGCGAATCTTTTATGTTCATATTGTTCAGATACAATGTTTCAAGTCGAGTGAATAATGATGGATTTGGTATGAATGAAATAATTGAGTTGATGATTAATCGATTGGAGACATGAAGTGAACGAATTCGATCTGTATATAGTCCGAAAAATTCACGGTAACTCTCTTCAAATGATGCTCTTGACATTAAGCAGAAATTGACTTCGATTGGATCAGTCGACAAGGTAAAAAGATTTCGAAATCGTATGTTTAAGCTACGAAATAACTTGTAAGCTTGATACATATCAATGTAGTCGAATATCTCATAGATGATTTCATTGGAAAGATGTTCAAAACAGGTTATCATTGGATTTTCACTCATTGTGCTTAATGCTACAAAAAAAAAGAATTAATATTAAATGGATTAGTGGAAGTTTTCCTTTTACATTACGAAATGAGTATGGTTTATGTATAATGATGTTATATTTTTGTTTTTATCCAATGATGAAGAAATACAAAAGAACGCTTTTTTAAATAATACATATATTATTTCGTTCTTTGCACATGACTCACGGATTTGTATTTTTCTTTCGTCGTGTTCTTCCTCGAAAGTTATAGCTACTAAAATACTTTATTAAGAAGAAAGATTTCTATAAGAAAATAATCGTTATTGGTCTCTTTTTAGCTTTTAGAAAATAATAAGTCCACTTGATCGCCACTACTCAACCGTCGTAGATCATTATCGGATATATACACTGGTACTGATTGCCATACTTTTCGTTCAAACAAGCTCGTTAATTGATCACTAACAATTCGAATTTTGTATCCACGAGAAACGAAGAACTTTAAATAATCATATGGATCACTTCTCTTCTCTCGCATCATTCGAGGACTGAATTCCGATACGATATGTCGAACTTCATACTTATCAAATAACCGAATGCCACTTTGTACTGCATATAATTCTGATCCTTCGACATCGATTTTCATCACATCGATATTTTGATTAACTAGAGTATCAAGTCGTGTACTATTAATAACTTGTCTGAGTGAATAACCTCTAGGTATACGTCCAATGGCCTCTTTCTCAGATGTGATGTCACATATCGTATGCCCATCACCGACATTGCCATTATCACTGTACAGTATACATAAGCTTGGTTTGACACCAAGACCATTAGGATGTACAATAACGTTCTGTGATATTTTAGATGCTTGTAATGATGCTCTCAACAATTCTATATTACGACTCATTGGTTCTATGGCAANCGCCTATGTGAGGAAATTGAGGAAATTATGCAAGGTTCATACAAGGGAAAAAGCGGATACGAAGAAGGAATCCGAGGCAAAGGATACATTGTCAACGCCCTAGAAGCTGCTCTGTGGGCCTTCTACAATGATAAGGGTTCGTTTAAAAAGGGTGCACTCGCTGCAGTGAACCTCGGCGATGATACAGATACAACCGCTGCGATCTATGGTCAATTGGCTGGTGCCTACTATGGCTTTCATGAACTACCAAAGAAGTGGACAAGTAAGGTCTATGCGAACAGTTTTCTGAAGTGCGTGAGCAAGTGGATAACTTATGAAGGAAATAATTGGCGACCGGAACGATCGTTTGTGACAAGTTTGAGATCACCGTTTTCTCAAGCGAATGATTTTGTAACAACACGTCGTTCAGAGAACGCTGATACGAATGTCATGTCACATCCAACACCTGATACTGAAATGCTAAGAGAACCTCCGAAAGCACCGCTTATGTCGAAAAGATCCCAGCGAACTCCAGAAGAAAAATCAAATAGAGATCTCGCACAGGAAAAAATTGTCGTGTCAAATGACGTATCAGAGAGTGGAACACCACGAAGATCCCATGGAAAGTCGCGTCCAGAAACGGGTCGTTCTAAATCCGTACGTGGTTCTCAGTCAAGATCTTTATCACAAATGAACAAGGACAGACCTATGAGTGCGTCGAAACCTCATCAATCCCCGGAACAAAATGAACACTTCACATATTTTCTCTCCCCCTGAACTATTTAAATCGCGGTTAATTTTTTACCACTATATCATGAATAAACCAGAACATATCTAAGTATAATAACTTGTTTCTGTGTAAAGACGCGACTGATACAGTAACTAGATCAAAACAAATAATGTAAACCACCTTCATATTAAGTAGAGAATGTGTGCTTCGCATTGAAAACAGCGTCGTTAGCTTTGTTAACTCAGTCGCTATTCAATTTGAAAATATAGATGAGTCATTTAGCGAAGATATTCTCTTCCACAGATTTATTTTGAACAAGCTACCCGAGATATGTCAAGCTTTGCACTTTAATGGATGCTCTTTTAATCTACGTTTATAACTAGCAGTAGAATAAGTTAATTATCCTTCCCTGCATGTCACTCTTCGAGAACGAGTATAATAAAGAGATTTATATGAATTTTATACATCCGTTAAACATAATGTTTTCCAACAGACAGCATCATTCATTGCGACTCGATGAACACGGAGAGAGAAATTTGAGGTATTTTTTCATATAGAAAAGAAAGCCAAATAGTTCAAAATCGATATCTGTGCACAAGGACGATTTTTTCCCGATAAAATCCATCATTTTCTTATTCCATACGACACAAATGGCATCATTAGCTACCATAACACCTATTTTCAGCATTACCAGCTACTTCGCAATCTTAATCTTCGGAACAGTCGGAAACATTCTGAATCTTACCACGTTACTATCCAAAGATTTCCGAACAAAATCATGTCTGTTCTACATGATATGTGCTTCGTCACTCGATTTATTCTTCAGTAGTTTTGGCATTATACTTCGCTTTTCCACGGAATACTTTGGAAACAATTCGAGTCTAATCATTCGTGGTGTTTGCAAAGCACGTGCGTACTTTCTCGTTTGCCTGCCTGCAATGGCGTCTACATGTATCCTATTAACAACATTTGATCGATGTATATCGACATTAGCAAATGCTCGCTGGCAACAGCTGACTTCAATTTGGTTTGCTAAACGCCTATTCATCATAACTATGCTTTTTCTTTTGACTTCGAGTGTTTTTCATTTGATCATATTCGATATTCGAAACGGTGTATGCGCACCGTCATCTAGTTTCGAGACGATTTTAGTCGCTGTGTATGGCAATATCTTCGCTTTTCTTATTCCTAATGGTGGAGTATTGTTTTTTGGTAGTTATACATGGATTAATTTGAGACAATTAAGAAGTCGAATCGATCCAGTTTGTGCCTCAAATGCACAATCACGATCTGCTCGACGAATGGATCGACAAATGTTCTGTTTAACATTTGCGCATGCATCATTTTCGACTGTGCTGAGTCTACAACGAGGTTTTACATATACATACACTGTAATTACTAGTTCGGCACAGAAGAGCGTTGAACGACAACAAATCGAATATCTTATTCTGCAAATAAGCGTTATTTTATATTATGTGAACTTTGGTGTAGCTTTCTATGTGAATTACGCTTTCAGTATGATGTTTCGAAAAAAAGTCCACAGATCTGTTCGTTTATTTATGAAGAGATGCTTAAATATTCATGAATAAATAAAACATCTAAGAAATTTCTACTTCTATAGATTAAAAAAAAACTGTTTTCATCTGTGCTTGTTTGGAGGACAACCTCTGTTATAAAGAGCGAGGACCAAGGCGTGAGAGTGTGAGTGAGAATAGCTGCAAGACGATAAATATTTGTCATAGCGTTGAAAACCGATCTGACTGTTGAATTACAGTCTTGATCGTCGGACCTATGATAGAAAAGAATATTTTCATGCTCATTCACTTGTGATTTTCATTAAGGTCATTTTGATAAGTATGAGTGAGAAATAGAAAAGTCGTTACTACCAAAACGATGACCGACGTCCTGATTGAAACTGCTCTCTTTTCTCAATAGCAACGAACAGATTATTCTCTACTATGAAGTATCTTACCTGCGATTGAGTATCTCTATCAATAACAAAACAAAAAAATATCACTATTGTCATCTTTTTCTACATAGCGTTAGTGAAGTATGTTAAACTTAGATCGTAGTTCTCTTCGATCCTATGACAGTATGCTTCAACTGCCTTTTTGCCGTGTTTACTTTCGCAACGCATTTTTATTGGACTCCTTGCTAGGTATGCATTCGCGTGAAGTAGAACACTTGTGTTACGAATGATTACTGGTCGGTAAACAGAAAGGAAACTATATGTCTCGCTGGTAATGGAATGATGCGTCGTTTTGGCATATACTTTTCATGCCATCTGTACCTGATATACATACGCACGGTGACATAGATAGAATCAAGACAAAATACAACATGAACTTCATGATTTTTTTTAAATTTCGTTGTAATCATCTATGCAACATGCCATCTAATGACGTGCTTTAACTCAAAATCAAAAGTAGTTTCATCATCAATTTGCACAAGATCAGTATAATTCTTCTCTCATCAGACAAACAACTTTGTTCCTCAGTGTGAATACAATTGCATAAAATTCACTTTTATTCATGAATTCTAATGACAAGCAGTCGAAATCTGCACTGACACAGGTTGAAACTGAACTCATGGACCGTGTCCATTCGTATTTTTCCAATCATGATCCTGAAAGATTTTATTTCGTCTACGCGACTGAAACACCATTCAGTAATGTTCATCCTTGTTCAATCACTGATAGAAATCTCAAGTTTCATTCAAGTGAACAATATATGACGTGCCAGAAAGCGAGTAAATAAATATTGTACTAATCGATGAAAACCAGTCTTAACATCATTGAATTTCAGGAGTGTTTAACGATGAAAATATGGCTCGAAAAATTCTCAGAGCTGAAACACCTGGCAAGTGTAAAGCATTAGGACGTGCAGTGAAAAACTTCGATCAACAAATCTGGCATGAAAATCGTACGCGAATTGTTTCTGATGCAGCCTGCTTCAAAGTAAGATTGCCGTTCACGGAAGGATAAAACTCAGTAGAATTTGTATTTTAGTTTACACAAAATGAACAATTGAAATGAGCACTGTTGACACATCACCATTGCTTGTTTGTAGAAGCAGCAGCAAACGATTGCATTTGGAGTGTTGGTTTACGTGAAACAGATCTATTAGTAAAAACACGTGCCAGTTGGCGAGGACTTAATCTTTTAGGTTATATATTCTTACTGATATTGCACATCGAATCTATGAGGAAGACAACATATCATCGATGCAGTTATGAATAGATTATATTTAACTACTTAATGAGAAAGAATACATGTTATCACAGTTTGGCTTTTTCCAACTTCACTCGTTTCTCTCTGATAATTTTGTAAGAGATATGACTCATGATAGAAACAGTAAGTTTAAAACTGTTTTATTGATTCATGCAAAAAATATATGTATGGATGAATCCTAATGTTTAAAATATGATTGTACCATTCGAGAAGGCGAGTCAAGAAAAGACTACACCATTGAGCCGTTTGATAAAATTCGAACTTAACTAACAACCAAAAAAACCATTGTACAGGTTTCGTAATAACATGCATCACACTATGAGAATATGTTCCATAACACGAAGCTATTAGATCATTGACCACAACNGCAGCACATAGTAATCGGTGATAGATGTCAAACCATCACATAGTTAGAATAAAAATTATTCTTATGTATTTATTAAGCAACTTTCCGAGTAAAATCAAAGTATATAGAAAAAATATATAAGCATCTATCTTGCAGTTACATATGACAGCAAACTTAGTCGGTCGACCTAATGTAATCCGATCCGTAATCAGCGAAATTCCTAACTTGAAAAGATGAAGCAGCTAATTTTGTTGTTTGTACTTGGATAGAAGTGCTTTCTGTCTCACATTTCTCTCTTTAAACAACTAATTGGATATATTAGATTCAATCCTACATATGATGTTAAACAGAGCGTTCAACTATCGTCTACTCAAACATTAGGAAAATCTCTTGTGTATCAGTTTTTAAATACAATCGCATATGATGCCACAAATGTCTTGGTAAAGTTAACGAACTATGGAATAAGCTGTCTGGCAAATGTGACCGCGACAGCATCCGAAGTTATGCAGTCCAAAGACTATTTGGAAAAATCTGCTGTCTGGGCATATACTGTAGTTATTGTACTCGCTTGGGAAATCTATTCGAAAGGTTCTAAACCTATGATTCATCAAGTTGGCACATATTCTGATGACAATGATCGGCGCATGCTAGCTGGTGAACGTCTCGTTCGACCAGTTGCACATTTTCAAGTGCAATGGACGATCTTTTCGGAATGCACGAAACACAATTCAATTCAGGGTTCGACATTTGTTCAAGTACGAGAAAAGATACGTCGGTTTTGAAAAGCAAAACAATATTCTATCGACATCACAATAAACACTATCTAAAAACTCTCTTTTGATCCATCTTGAGAGTGTGGATGAGAATAGCTGCAAAACGATAAATATTCGTCATAACGCTGAAAACTGATCTGACTGTTGAATTACAGCCTTGGTCGTCGGAACGATGGCAGAAAAGAACATTTTCATGTTTATTCATTTCTGATTTTCATTAAGGTCATTGAGACTACTGAATTACTTAGAAGAAAACTTCCTTTCAAAGTCATTAACGTATTAGAGATCTACTTGGTAATCCATTGTTCATGAAAAGAAAAACAATACTTAGAATATCGAAACGATTGATTATGATCATAGTGAGAACTCTTTTGAGAATATAGATTAAAATTTATGTCTAGCATGGAACGTGTTATTTAATATTACTCTCTCTGTTCACACATTTATTTTCTGATATAAAAATATTTCCATCGAAGTAGATTTATATAGTTACCACCATAGATAACTATCACAATAAGAAATCATGTTGATCGAAACTCACTCTTCTTGTCTNGTACTTGAGTTTGAGCGAAACATGAGTAAGATCGTGCAATGTTAAGCGCAATGTTTCGCGATAGAAATTGAAGGTTGAAATGACGCATTTGATCGATAAACGACGAAGATGTGGCACATGGGATAAAAGAAGCGCAAGTTCTTGAAGATATATGCAAGAATCAATAACCAAGTGTTCAATAGGACTCAGTATATCACTTCCAGTTATGAGCAGACCGTGCGGTGTGTCGTCGGTATCATTAATTGAAATTTTACAGTATTTCAATGATGATAAACGAAATATGCTATTGTAGATTAGATTTTTATCATAACATTTGTTAATCGAAGAGATAATTAATGTGGAAAGTTGCGGTAAGAGGGATAAGTAATCGAAAAGTTCATGCGAATCTTTTATGTTCACATTGTTCAAATACAATGTTTCAAGTCGAGTGAATAATGATGGATTTGGTATGAATGAAATAATTGAGTTGATGATTAATCGATTGAAGACATGAAGTGAACGAATTCGATCTGTATATAGTCCGAAAAATTCACGGTAACTCTCTTCAAATGATGCTCTCGACATTAGGCAGAAATTGACTTCGATTGGATGAGTCGATAACATAAAAAGATTTCGAAATCGTATGTTTAAGCTATGAAATAACTTGTAAGCTTGATATATATCGATGTAGTCGAATATCTCATAGATGATTTCATTGGAAAGATGTTCAAAACAGGTTATCATTGGATTTTCACTCATTGTGCTTGATGCTACAAAAAAAAAGAATTAATATTAAATTGATTAATGGAAGTTTTTCTTTTACACTACGAAATGAGTGTGGTTTATGTGTAATGATGTTATATTTTTGTTTTTATCCAATGATGAAGAAATACGAAAGAATGCTTATTTAAATCATATATTTATTATTTCGTTCTTCGTACATGACTCACGGATTTGTATTTTTTTCTTCGTCGTGTTTCTCCTCGGAAGTTAGACTAAAATACTTTATTAAGAAAAAAGATTTCTATAAGAAAATGATTGTTATTGGCCTCTTTTTAGCTTTTCGAAAATAATAAGTCCACTTGATCGCCATTGCTTAACCGTCGTAAATCATTATCAGATATGTACACTGGTACTGATTGCCATACTTTTCGTTCAAACAAGATCGTTAATTGATCGTTAACAATTCGAATTTTGTATCCACGAGAAACGAAGAACTTTAAATAATCATATGGATCACTTCTCTTCTCTCGCATCATTCGAGGACTGAATTCCGATACGACGTGTCGAACTTCATACTTATCAAATAAACGAATGCCACTTTGTACTGCATATAATTCTGATCCTTCGACATCGATTTTCATCACATCAATATTCTGATTAACTAGAGTATCAAGTCGTGTACTGTTAATAACTTGTCTGAGTGAATAACCTCCAGGTATACGGCCAATGGCCTCTTTCTCGGATGTGATGTCACATATCGTATGCCCATCACCGACATTACGATTATCACTGTAGAGTATACACACGCTTGGTTTGACACCAAGACCATTAGGATGTACAATAACGTTCTGTGATATTTTAGATGCTTGTAATGATGCTCTCAACAATTCTATATTACGACTCATTGGTTCTATGGCAATGACTTCATGACCAAGTGTTGCCATGACTAAAGTGAACCATCCAATGTTAGCACCAATGTCTAAGAAAACAGCAGGCTTCGACGGAGCGCCAGCTAGAAGAGATGCCATTAGTCTAGTTTGATGTGGCATCCATGAATGAGAACTCGCAATAGAATTAGAAACGATATCGTTGGATAACAGATGGATACAGAAAGAACGAGAACCAAGAAAACTTGTCTGAATAGCGTTTTTACTTCTAAGACACGGATAGACTCGTTTTGTATCCTGTGTGGTGGTAGTAGTAGTAGTAGTAGTAGTAGTTGTTGTTGTTGTTGTTGTTGACGGTATGATCCGGAATAATAGTCCTTGTTCTTGAGTGAATAGAAATTTCGTAGCCAATATCGTAAATAATAAAACTAGAAAGAATATTCTTTGCCGAACGGAACAAGTAAAAAATTGCTTCATTCCATCGATTGAGAGTATTCTAAATATAACAAAAATTCAAGATTAATGCAAAAGACAAATTGTTTATCCATTTAGTTGTAAATAGACTTATCGAAATCATGCAACCTGACATATTTCGCATTACCTCTGTAACTCAGATGAGAAAAATACTATAGGAAAATAAGTTTTCACAATTTTTCTACAATGTAGAAAGGTGAGAAACAGCACGTAAATAATTGACTCTGTTATCGTCAAGAAAGAGCACTATCCTGCGTAAAGAAAATACTTCAACGAGTTTTTCTTCCTATTCCTAAAAGCTAGAGTAAGTTCTCTTTCCATAACAGCGTGTTGTGCTATGGCATTTTTTTTGTTTTCACTCATCATGATTTCTAAGCGTTCCTGACTTGTTTATATCCTGAAAAGCTACTGATAAAAGCGGACATATGGTTTTAATTACTTGAGATCGTTATCCGCCACTTGTACGTTTTGTTCCTCCATCATTGTTTACTAAAATAACGAGAAAATTGGTAAATTGCACTCGCTTTCAATTCAGTTAGTCGACTTGTTTCTTTGCTTGAGCCGATGACAATATTTTGGTTATAGTGACTAGTCTTTTTTTCATTTGTTCGTTTCTTTTCGAACAGCGATAAAAACAAAATAGTCGTTATGCTTCGTATTTTAATACGCACACCGGCATGTACTTCTTTTCACATATGATTCAGTAGGCTTTTGCTTTCCTTCGTCGCATTTTTTGTTTTATTATTCGATTAGAATACATTATAATGTATGTATAATATAGACATATGCTCTAAAAAGGTGTTAGTGAGAGCGAATTGACGAGTCGATAATATTGTGACGATGCTTTTGAATACCTTGAACATTACCGGAAGCAGAGAAGAGAATGTGACATTTGTTCGCAGATAAGCATTACTGTGTGCTTCGTTCTTTCAAGAAAAAAAGAATAAGAAATATGTCAGTTCAAACTGTAAAAACGTGCTTTAAAGAAGGCATGACAAAATCATCGTATTTTAGAGCATTACTGTTCAGACGTTATTCCATCAACGAGAGAAACATTTGATAATTGTTTGCAATTCTATTCTATCTGTTGTATAGACCATTAGCTTACAGACTGCATATGAAAAATGTTTGATTAGAGCATGTATTATTATTGCACTCGATTGTACAGTCACTGTTGAATGGAATATGAAAATGTTTACACGCATGTTGTCTATGAAGATGCAGACCAAGTCTAAAAAGATTTTCGAATAATTGAATTCGATAAATTTTGATTCGTATGTATACAACTTAACTGAGAAATTCCACTGATCAATTTCGATATTACCGGAAGAAATGAACGCGTATGACATTTTTTACTACCACGCTTGTTGTCTCTGTACAAAAAAACAACAACAAATAAAACGTTATCAAACACAGATAATGATAATAGCACACCAAAAAAAATCTATATATAAATGCAGCTAAAGACGAGTTCTACTTTCTTTTATCACATATCTCATTGCTTCTTGCAGAATGTATCATCGCGAGTTTGTAACTATCTGTTTGGTGGTGTTTCTTGGTGGACTTTTGCTTTTTCAAACATGTCAGTCGAGTCCGCTGGATGATTATGTACACGCACCTGATCCATACATGAATTGGACGGTACTTAAAATATACGACATGCCTGATTATGTTTTGTATATTTTGAATTTTACCTCGCAAAAGTGGCTCGATGGTCAGTACATTTGACTTTTACAGTTGCTACTCATTATCCTATTTCCAGAAACATTCTCAAATCGACCTATGTGGTCACATTACTTGTGTATCAGTGTTCCAAATAAACTCACTCGACCAAAAAGCGCGTTTATGTTCATCGATGGTGGTCATTTCTACGATGGGTAAATAGTCGCTATTCGAAAGAAAAAAAGACATCCTTTTTAATATACTTTCGACGTTGAATAGACTTCCAAAGCCAGAGGACAATTTTGTCGCACTGACATCTATGTTTGCTGTAAGTAGTGGTAGTATCGGTGTCGATCTACAAGATATCGCCAATCAACCCATTCGGTTCAATGCAAGTATCTTCGACCTAATCGACAGTGATGTCATCTGTCGAATTGATTATAGGCTGACTTAAGTAACAAAAGCCGTAGCGAAGATTCGCTTCTCGGGTGGACATGGAAGGCCTATTTGGAGAATCAAAGTAATCCCAATGTGCTTCTACATATGCCCGTGACAAAGGTAGACAAGAATGGCGTTTTATTAAAGAGATATTTCACTGATTGTTTGTTCTACAGGCTTGTGTTCGTGCTATGGATGCTGTTCAACAATTTCTAGGCCAACTAAAAGTTATTGTACCTGAAAGCTTCATTATTGGAGGTGCATCAAAGGTAAGTCTAATCCGTCTGATACGAGAAGGAAGAACTATTTTTCTATTTCTCTCGTTGTAGCATGGTTGGGCAAGTGAGTCATAGATGAGTGTTTGCATGTATAACATAGTTTGAACCATTTCATGACGAATTTAGCTTGGACAACTGCCGCCGTCGATCATCAACGTGTCATTGCAGCTATTCCCATCGTGATGAACACAATCAATTTTCAAATGGTAAGTATCATCACACGGTTACATCTTCGAAAAAGTACACTTTCTATATTTTAGAGTTTACACCATCACTATCGAGTAAACAAATTTGAATAGATGAGAAAATCTATCGTCAGTGTGCTTGTCTTCCATAGTCACTCGTTGGTTGGACATTCGCATTTCAAGATTACTACGATTTGGGTATTACTCGTTACGTAGACAGCACTAATTTGGCGAAGATGTCACAAATTATTGATCCTTATAGTAAAAGAAATGTGTTGTACTGTAAATTTACATTTTTCTCGTTTGTAACGCATTTAGATTACTTTGATCGATTTGCAAATAAGAAATTGCTTTTGTTACAAACAGCAGGCGATGAATTTTTTCTACTCGATGGTGAATATACTTTCTGGGGCGCTCTTCAGGATGCCACAAATCATTCTTCGTTCCTTAGGTAATTCGCTTTATTGATACCTCTCGTTGAAAGTGATCTTGATTTTGACAGACGATTACCAAATGCAGAGCATTCATGTGCTGGCCATGAGATTAGTCTCTTTTTGACTATGCGAAGTTTCTACCTGAGTGTGTATGATGTGAGTTTTATACATACATTCCTCTACAGATGTGTTTATACTTTCATTCAAAGGATAAACCACTACCATCGTTCAAATGGACGAAGAATATGAACAATACACATGGCTACATTCGTGCTACAGCGGATTTTGGTGTTGGCCCGAAGCCGATGAGTGCCATCGGTTATCGAGCACGTACGCTCAATGCTGACCGGTTTGTATATGGATATTTAATCTCGTTTGCATATAAAGTTTAGTCCATTGTAATAGACGCGACTTTCGACTTCTCATTGCTAATCCTAATGACACAAGAAAACCGATTGTTAATCCGGTACTTTGGTTGACTACATCACTTGTGACAGAAGTCAGATATAAGAAAATCAAATTACATCAATGTTTTTGATTTGCACTATTGACTAGGAAACTACACCAACAAGTATCACGTATTCACTGACTATTGAAAATCCAATGAGTGGTTGGGAAGGTTTCTACATTCAAGTAAGTTTTCCTGGTCCTGATGGTTCGATGTTGGAACTTACCACGGAAACACAAATTATTCCTGACACTTACCCAACTGGTGACTGTCATGGAGATCAATGTTACGGGACAATCGTCTAAATCGGATAAGTTCTTTAGATTCTGTTTTAATCGTAAATTTTATGAAATATTGTTTGCTAATGATTTTGAAATGAATATACATTCGATTTTGACGTCCTAAATGGGATGCATACTTTCATGTCCTATCATGTATGTTCGTTGTTACTATCGTTTGTTTCGATGGGCTTATACTTCTGCAATTATTACTAATGGTTTTAATGACAATGAATACGCAAAAAACCTGGTCCACGAAATCCATTCTAAGAAAATTGAAAAGTACGAAGTGTGCTCGAAGAAATTATACTCTTCTACGAACGTCATATTTTTATTATAAAAGTTTTCAATTTTCGAGAAAATCTGTTATGGAAGGCTACCATTTCCGACACACTCGTACCAATCCGGATCAACTTCACATGTATCTTGAGCTAGATTAGTTATACGCATCATATCATCATTGTTGATAGTAAATGGATTCGAGAGAATATCGAGATTTTCTCGCATATGAATTTCATTCATTGACCGCGGGTTTGAAGCAACACCGAGTTGATGAATCCATCGTAATAAGATTTGTGCTTCAGTACGTTCATACGTTCTTGCCAACGAAATAATCACCGGATCTTGAAGTAACGTTGCATGCATACCTGTTGGTTTACCTTCGTGCACGACTGGAAACTGACGTGCATCAGGTACTCCCAACGGTGAATAAGCGACTAGTTGAATGTTATTCTTCTGACAAAATTCAAGTAGATCAGCTCGTCCAGTTCGATAGTTGTATGGATTGAATGAAACTTGATTAACACTCGGCAAAAGCATACCAGCGTCGATGATTTCTTGTAAATGTGTTACATTGTAATTGGAGACACCGATGGAACGGACTAATCCACGATTAAATAATGTGATCATAGCAGACCAAGTTGAAAGACGACAATTTTTCTCACTGTACGTCGATGGATTACTCACATTACATAATGGATCGGATGTTGGTGGTATGTACGTTTCATGAGGATGGATCATGATGGGCCAATGTACAAGGAGTAGATCAATCCAACTTGTCTGCAGTTCTTGCAAGATGATCATAGTTTGATTAATTGTGTCATTAAAGCCTAAACCAAATGTTGGTCCAACTTTGCTTAAAATGAAAATATCCGATCGGTTCACACCACTCTGTTGGATACCTAGTGCAACGGACTTGTGATTATAGTACGAATTAGCACAATCAAGTCGACGTCCACCTGCGTTATGCAACCATGTGTACACCGCCTTTTGAGTATTAGATCCACAGCCAGGTGGCGGTGGATTGATGTGACCAGATGAATCAATGTGTGGTTCAGCACCACACTCAGGATACGTACCATAAGGTTCATTATTTCCACCATAAAATCCAAGTCCAAGGCCAACAGCTGGCATTTTAAGGTTATTCTCAGCAGCATTAAATAGAGGAAACGAAGAGTCGGGTGTTGCTACAGAAGGTTTCGAACGAGAGTGATGAATATGAGTATTCACCATCGAAACCGTTGAAATAAACACGAAAGAAAAACAGAGAAGGAACAATTGCATGATAGTGATATCACATAGATAGTCTAACTCAACACTGATGAAGAAAAGAACACGTTTCATGTCTATATATCAAGATGCTTTATCTCCTACTGCGCTTCATAACTATTATATGATCTATTTATTTTAGAGAAAAACTATGTAATAATAAGTACTCGATGACATGCGCACGTTTGTCGGATAACTTTGCAACACATCTTAACTTTCATTATTAATTGAAATCTTCTTTTATTATAGTTTGTTTTTCACACGTTCTAGATTGTATCTATATAATTGAATAGTCATTTCGTTCGACAGTGAAGAAGATTGAACGATCGATAGAGCTCGTTCATAGAATACAACAGCTTTGGTATAATTACCCATTTTATCGTAAACATTACCAATTAGATAATTGGATGTAGCTACACCAGGCTGATGGGTGGGACGTGCTTTTTGTTTGATTTCCAACGCTTTTTCATAAGATGAAAGACTTTTCAAACAGTCACCTAATTGAAAATATACAAGACCAATATTGTCGTATGAGATAGCTAAATTAGGATGATTTGACGAAAGTGACCGTCTGCTGATATCCAATGCACGTTCGTAGAATGCTCGTGCTTTGGCATATTCTTCGATTTGGTAATATACTGCGGCGATGTTATTATACGTCGAAGCTAAATCCGGATGATTGGGAGGAAGTGATTGTTGACTAATTTCTAGCGCTTTTTCATAGAAAGAAAGCGCTTTTGTGTGGTCACCCATTCTGTTGTGCACTAGAGCAACATTATTGTAGGAAGTGGCTAAATCCGGATGATTGGAAGGAAGTGATTGTTGACTGATATCTAAATCTTTTTCATAGAACGTCAGTGCTTTAGCATACTCACCCATTTTCGAATAAACTCGACCGATATTATCGAAGGAAGTGGCTAAATCCGGATGATTTGCAGGTAAGAGTCGTTCTCGGATAGCTAATGCTTTTTCTTGAAATGCGAGTGCTTTGGGATATTCATGTAACTGATCATAAACAGAACCGATATTGTTATATGTCGACGCTAAATTTAAATCATTTCTTGGATATATTCGTTCTTGAATTTGCAGTGATTTTTCGAAAAACGAAACTGCTTTCGCATAATCACCTTGATTATTTCTAATCATTCCAATCATGTGATAAATATGTCCGCGTTGATGATTATCAATTCCAGTTTGTTCGATTAATGTCTGATACAGATTTTCTGCTTTGTCAAGAGCATTGACTGCGAACAACAGCTGACCTAATCGATACCATCCAACCGCGCCACTCGTTGCATCGCGCATACTTTTTGTTAGTGCAAGCAGTTTCGGATCCTGATCATTCGTCAACGCAAGATTAACTTGCCAAAGACGTTGATTACCATTTTCAATTGGTTGAACATCACCAATACGAAAGACAGTGTGCATTGAAAAGAGTATTTCTTGTTCGACGTCTTTGTAATAACTAACGTTATCCAAAAGTGCGAATGGTGTTGAAGAATTCGTTGGATCAATAGTCATGTGAAAGAGAAGACCGACAGAATTCACTTTTTGTAAAGCTTGACGAGCAAATTTCAATGACACCGAACGATCTTTACTTGTTGATAAGAAATTATTGAAAGAAAGAAATCCGCCTTTGACTTGATTGAGTTTGTTGAATTCATCTTGTGACAAACCTTGACCACGATAAACAGTAAATACCGACGAATATCTTGACGATTGTTTCCGATGCAATTGAAGAATTTGCCGATGAAGATCAGCAAGAAAGAAGCCCATCTTCAGAATAATATCCATGTCAAACACACGTAACGCATGATTTAGCATACGATGAAGACAGAAGTCATACGTGTACCACCAGATGGATGTGTGTAAGTGATAATCTCGTTCAAATTCATTGATTCTCTTCAATTCTTTTGGATTTTCACGAAACAGTTCACGACAAAATTCGGCTAAGTCTCGAGTTGATTGTTGATCGAAATCGATTTCGAGAAGAGCTTCTTTCAATAATTGACTGTACATGAACATTGGATCAAGAACTCGATCTTGGCTGATCGAATTTGACGAGTGACTTGTTGGGACGAAACTCATCGCGATCACATCTTTATCGCACTGATGTACAGCCTGTTTCAATGCGTCACACAACGATGTTATTTCCGTAAATATACCCTTGATTTTCAGCCAATCCGCAATTCGTTGTTGATTTGACTGGAAAATATAAATGGAGTCAAGTTGGTTAATATTATGAACAAGAGACAAAATCTCATCGTCGATATCGCCGGAAATGATCAGAAAAATCTTTTCATCTTTGATAGTTTCGAGAAATTGGATGCATTGATTCAAATCGGTAAAAGTGAAAACACTGTTGACGATCGATCGTAATTGGCCGAGTGAGTTTTGAACGTCACTCTCGAATTCATTCATGTGATTATCAAGCCAAATGAGAAGAAAATCTTGAACGATTCGATGAGATCGAGTTTCCCTCGAGTCTATTACTCTCGCCATGTTGTGTTGAGTTGAAAGTGCAAATGATTATTTACATCATCTGATTTGTTATTTTCTTTCTTTCTTTCTTTTTTTTGTCGTTCTTCACCAGGAGAATTGTTCCGATGTGTGTGTGACGTCGACACATGGTGCGCTGTTCTTTGTTTTGCTGCACATTTTATTGTGTTTTTGTTAAATTATCAAAAAAGTGAAACAATGGAAATAATTCTACACGCCAATCATTCATTGACAAGATAAACCAATTCTTTCTCCTTCATCGCATTTTGCAGTATGCTTTCAGAGAATAACTCGAAGATTGTCATCGTTTTTTTGGCGTTGAGAAATCCTCGAATGACTGAAAATGTCCCTTTTTCATCTTAACACTTTCGTTCAATCAAACAGCAAACTGGAATTCTGATGATATTGCCATTGTTGATTAAAAAAAGTCGGTAAAGTTTATGACCTAGTTTATCGATACACGATCGCTAGTTAGGAGTTTAGCAACATACGTACAACCTCAGTGCATCAAGCATTATTCTCCTTTTGTTCAATATTACAATACAGTTGTTCTATTTTTTCACTTTATTGAACCATTTGCTGCTAATCTTTTCTCCGCTTTATTCATTTTATTTTCATCCATCCGCTGAGGATCAGCAGCACGAATGAAGCAAACTTACGACGAGCATGTTTTACATCAAATAAACGAACATAAACACTTGATGATTAGTCCTACAATTCGATTAGTTCTTTTGTTACTTCGTCTAGCCATGGCTATGCTAAAGGAATGTATCAACGCTTATCTTTATTGTCATGTTCGACCTTTGAAGTTATACGAAAAATGTTTCCGAGAATCACTTCGACTTTGGTGTCGCAAATTCTATCGATGATACTGTAAACTTTGTTTTTCCGTTCCATTATCGGCGATTTGATCTTAGATGTATGTTTTTTACTTGAGGAGTAAGACGTACAGGTTGAATAACATTTCTTTGCGTCCAACGAAAGCATCGTTTAGTCTCTTCACGGAAACGATTCGATACAATTAAACATATGTAGAAACCAGCCTTTAACAACAATTTACATGTTATACCCAATTTGTTAAACAAAAGATACTTTACTTACTCCACATCGGAAAATACCAATGTAACTAATCATATTCAAAATAAAACCTTCGATATCTCTTTGTTCATTACTTTTACACTGATAATTTGTGATAGTTGCATAAATAGTAAAAATAGCGTACGGTAATAGCGCAATTAGAATGAAACATGCTTGTACACCAACCGCCAATAGAACTTGTCGATCGATACCTTGTGATCGTGGTAGATTTTGCACGGAATGAATATTTCGATAAGTAAGTAAACCAAACACGATAGTCATAATCAATGGTACTGAAACATTGAAAATCCAAACAGTAACTGAACTGTAAAGAATGAAAACTATCGGATCATTGACAACACATAAATTCAATCTGAAAGTTTCAATGTGAAATCAATCAATATGAAGTAAAATGACTTACTGTATGCTCGTGACAATAAAAATCGGAATTCCATAGAGACACCAGAATACAACAAGACCAAAAGTGACATAACAAGCTGTTTTCATGTTACTCAAATGTCGAAGACGTGCATTACGTGAGGTTACTAGGAATTGATCAACCATTGTCAACCAATCTGCTGTTATACTACTCAATTGAATTGATATAAAAGCATATTCGCGTAGTTTACAAATGATCAATACTGTCTGTGTTAGATTAATACCGAAACCGGATGAAAGTATTCGACCGAACGTTGCGTAAATTAAATGAACAAAACATCCGGCAGATGATAGTAGTATAAAGAATGTACACGGTTTCACACGATATTGGCGGCGGGTTGAGAATAGAAGTATTTTCATAATAGTACCAAACATATTAATGATGAATACAGTGATGCCGAGATATCGAGCTACGTTTTGAGTAACATACGACCACACCACCATGTTTTACCACTTTCTCCACAATGCGAATATTGTGATTTAGTTTTTATCTCTTGATCTCATTAGGTTTTTAATAAGAGAGAAGGTTCTTATCCATTAAAAAAATAATGAGAACGCATTTCTTTGAAATAGAAATGATTTACAATCATTTTTGCTTTGTTCTCTATATTTAGATTATGAAGTGTATACTCGTTTGGAAATCTTTGAAAAAGAAGTACGTATCATGTTCAATTATGTTGCAAATTAAGAGCTACAAAGTCACAAACAACTAATTTCTAATATTTCAAAAACCGTTCTTCCATAAACCACTTCACCCTCAAGGAAATGAATCTGTTCGTTTCGGTTGGAATAAATTGCATAATGAGGATTATCAACTTCGGCATAAGCACCGAAATAATCCGCTATACAATAAAGCGAGTAATTCACCTGAGAATATTCGAAATCAATGAATGTAATATCATTGCTCTGATGGTCATTGTGACATAGAGAACCAAATCTGAATTGAGTTCAAAGCGAGGCAAGATCAACTGTTTAATGATATTGACGTCAGACTTGACGAATGAAAATTCTACGAGGAAAGCGTACGTTTGTTTTTTCTCACAAATGGATTATCATGTGAAACTAAGCACGAGGACAAATCTTTTCTAATCTTGAGGGTGTATGATGCAAGTTCTTGAAACGGATGCATCATAGTATTTCAGCATAATTGCTGTTATATTTGCTATGCCTTTATTTGAATCATATAAACATTTCATTATTTCCTTTCAAAGTAATTATCGTGGACCAATATACGTATCGTTCGGCTGCAGTTAACGAACAACAAGAATTTCTTGTTTTCGAATGGAACCCAGCTGATTCATACGGGATTGACAACTGTGGGGCTTTCTGTACAGCATCATTCATTTAATAGAGACGATATTTTCAATCCTAAAAAGTACAAATTTATTTCCACCAGTCCCGAATGTCATATAAACAAAACAGAATCTGTATTTCAATAATAGTTCAATCGATGTTGACTTCGAATTCAAATATGAATGATAAGCAAATAAGTTAAAAGTACATGCCTTCCTATCAGTATAAATATCAAGAAAAACTATTATCGTATTGAACGTTTATGACTTAATTTTAAAATATTGATAGAGGTCATGTGTCTACTGTTACAACTTCGACATTGAACTGAAAACTCTTGCCTGAATAGTGAGAATATTCAGTATGTTTTCTTCATCTGGTACATTATTTTCATTGTATTGACCTCATCAAGTTATGAATACATTAAAACAAATTTTTCAGTGAAATATTTGCAAAATCTTCGATCCATTTTCATCAGCTGATGGATCTTCCGTGTTAATATTTATATATTTTAATTTATTCAAACAGCACAACTATTTCCATCTCGAAAGCATCGCTTTTCTATGTATTTTCTCTCTTTTATTCTAACATGCTAAACAAATGTCTTTGCGTTGAGTCCCTTAGAATGAAGTGGCCCAAACAGAAGTTCTCATGGATAGTAGTTCCTCGCATCAATTCTCTGCGCTATTAGATGAACACACAGTTGAAGAACTACTTGCATTTATTAGTTTTATCAAAACAAATGTTGGTAGGAGGGAAAAATCAAGCAATTAGTTTTAGTTTTACGTTGACGTTGAAACAGTTAATTAAGAATCAATGATAATGTGCAAATCGTTCTGATTTCGTCCATCGTAATATTTGAAATGCAAATGATAGGCAAAAAGCTACTTCAATAGATAGATAAAATATCTCTAGATCTTTTTTCGAGATGTAGAATATCCAATTTTTCTTTCACTTCTTGTCTTCAGAACAATATGTGCTGGAAAACTGTATTGAAGACGAAAATATCCTTGATCAGAAATAAATATAATGTTCGTTATTGTAATTCTACTTCCGGGATAAACATCAAATTACATTATAAGCATATTTTCGTCAAAGTATAGTCAAAAAGGATAGATTTATCCCACAAATTCATCATCAACTATTCATTCAATTCTTCATTTGATCACAAACGCACATGTCATGGTGAATTGTTCGGCAAGACTATTTTTGATAACACTCAAATACACTTGTGCCACACGTTTGAAAATCGATGATGACGAAAAATATTCTCCTTTATAATCGTAAGTGGGCCGGATACGTCAATTAGGAAAGTTTATGTATGCTCTAAAAAGATAATCTGCCTTCTTGAATGTCATCTAGAAAATGATGACTACACTTAGAAGAGGAGAAGATTGGATCAAGACTCTGCGGAGTTCTAGTAATGATAAAAGTACAGTCATAGACAGAGAGTGCAGCCAGTAGGTGATGGAAATTGAAGCTATAAAGATACTTTTGATTATTTTCTCAAGCTCCCAGAAATTATGTAATTACTGAATCCTATATAGTTGTGAACTTGGTCGCGGGGTCATCACACCCTCAAGATATAGAACAAAGCATTATAGCTTGGAGAAAATGCGACTAATGAATACTGACTTTTTCTAGATATCTATATCATGAATCGTGACGTGGATGATGAAATTCTGATCGAGAATATTTCACTGTCTCCTGAAGAGGATCTATGATGTAATATTTGAATTTCACTTCGCACTGTCGTACTAGAACAAGAATCGGATCATCTAAATGTTCGCACAAATCTATTAGAACATCCGCATTCTGTATAAAGACATCATGCGGACCTGAAAGAAGTATATAAAACATAGACCGCAAACAATATTTTGAAATTGATTGATGCAGCAAAAATTCCTCAAAAGAACATGGCGAAGTTCATTATGCATGAAATGATCTGCTCGTGCATGGCATTCGTCGAAGATTCGTTTCTCTTCTAAGAAATGAACAAATAGTTTAGAACTTCTCTGTACCGATTGTTTAGACAGGCAAAAACTTGAAGAGAAACAATTATATCAACATTCACTCTTTCCAAGCTGAGATGGGTACAGATTTTGGTAAGAAATAGAGCAACTTTAAAGCACAATCCATCATGCTTAAAGTTATTTGAGAAAAGTATGAAAGGAAACTATCGCAAAACACTTAATCTATGCATTACTTGTTTCCTAAACTTTTAAATCTCGAAGTAACCTATGACAATTTAAGCCGCTATTTATTCACCTACTTGTTTTCCTGTTGCTTTTTCATGCGTGAGTGGGTAAAATAGTTAATTCGCAAGATTTCCTGCGAATATTTCGATTTTAATATTTTCATCAAATTAACGCTCTGTAAATTCGCCATCCAATCTTATCTGAAGCAATTCCAGTTGTAGCAAATGACGGTGATATAACAAAGTCTGAAATTAATTTACGCACAAATGCTTCACAGTCGTACAATGAGATGTCATACTTTTTTACACGGTTCACGTATTTCAAATTCATTTCTTGATTAACATATTTATTGAGATTTAATCCTTTAAGGAATAACGTGACGTAAAACAAGGAATTAAATTATTAATTTCAGCTCCAGGAAAGTCAAATTTATCTTTTATCTTAATCCGACGTTTACAACTACGTCATATTCACATATATAGAGCAGATTCCTACTAAATACTCCATCAGTAAAGAACATGTCTCTATCAGTAACACTCACGAATGTTTACTACGATACTATTCGATACTTCATGTCCGGAATCTTTTTCCTTGGCACTACTGGTTCACTCTTAAACATTATCCTGTTTTCTCGTCGGAAACTACGGCAAACATCATGTTGCATATGTATGTATTAATATTTACACTTGATCTCAGTCTTCTCTTTTATATATTTTATAGACTTTCTTGCAGCATCGTTCAGTAGTCTTCTCTCATTACTGTTTGGTTTGATTCCGACATTTTATTTACTTAACAATGTCTATCCTGGCAATTATTCTGTTGTCTTTTGCAAAATGCAAAGCTACGTCACTCATACAAGTCTTCAAATGACACGCGCGTTTCTTGCTCTTGCTTGTTTCGATCGCTATACGCTTAGTTTAGGCAATACTTATCTCCAAAGATTTGCAACGGTTACTGTTGCATGTCGATGCATTCCTATTGTAATATTATCATGTTATTTAATTGCTATTCATTTGGTTATTTATCTGGATGTTGTTAATAGTTCTTGTGGTATTCGTTACGCACCAGCATTGATTTATAACAGCGTTTACTCGATAACAACAATATCGGTTACACTGCCTTTGTTCATGTTCACTTTTTCCCTTTTGACGTTGATGAACTTGAAGCGTCGTCAAAAGCAACGACAACAAATGAACACGGGATTGATTCATCGGGATATAATTCGTGATAGAAAGGTCTTTTTCACACTGTCAGTACAATTAATCCTTTATTTCATATCAACAGCATTGTATGCACCAAATATAATCTATACGACAATTACGCAAAACATGCCGAAATCATCGGATCAACAAGCAATCGGAGTGTTTATTAATCGAATTGCACTTTTACTCATTTATATTTATCCTGGATTGTCATTTTCAGCATTTACACTTTCTTCGGGAACCTTCCGAAGAGAATTAATAAATCTATGGCGTTCCCTTCCAATTCATTGCGTTCGGGGAGCAACAGTGACACCACACACAACAACCAATCGAAGAACGCTGAATTTAACAAACAATCAAACATGATGAATTCGAAACATTGTGTTGTCTTGTGAAATTTGAAAATAAATTGAGTCATGATGAAATCACGTTTACCTCTACACTGTTGAGTTTGATACTTTGACGTTCTGTGTACAAAGAATTTTTACACGGTTTCGTGAGTTGTTTTCAAGATGGAGCGAGTAAAACGATCGCAATCGTCGGATAAAGTATATCATGACCATTTGAAAAGAACAAAATGCGATGGTATAGCTTTTGTTATGAANCAATAACGTTCTGTGATATTTTAGATGCTTGTAATGATGCTCTCAACAATTCTATATTACGACTCATTGGTTCTATGGCAATGACTTCATGACCAAGTGATGCCATGACTAAGGTGAACCAACCAATGTTAGCACCGATATCTAAGAAAACGGCAGGCTTCGATGGAGCGTCAGCTAGAAGAGATGCCATTAGTCTAGTTTGATGTGGCATCCATGAATGAGAACTCGCAATAGAATTAGAAACGATATCGTTGGATAACAGATGAATACAGAAAGAACGAGAACCAAGAAAACTTGTCTGAATAGCGTGTCTGCTTCTAAGACACGGATAGACTCGTTTTGTATCCTGTGTGGATGTGACAGTAGTAGTAATAGGAGTGGTTGTTGATGTTGTCGTTGTTGTTGTTGTTGTTGAAGGTATGATCCGGAATGTTAGCCCTTGTTCTTGAGTGAATAGAAATTTCGTAGCCAATATCGAAAATAATAAAACTAGAAAGAATATTCTTTGCCGAACGGAACAAGTAAAAAATTGCTTCATTCCATCGATGGAGAGTATTCTAAATACAACAAAAATTCAAGATTAATGCAAAAGACAAATTGTCTATCCATTTAATTGTAAATAGACTTATCGAAATCATGCAATCTGGCATATTTCACTTACCTCTGTAACTCAGGTGAAAAAATACTATAAGAAAATAAGTTTTCACAATTTTTCCACAAAGTAGAAAGGTGAGAAACAGCACGTAAATAATTAACTCTGTTATCGTAAAGAAAATACTTCAACGAGTTTTTCTTCCTATTCACATAAGCGCGAGTAAGTTCTCTTTCCATTACAACGTGTTGTGCTGTGCTATTTTTTTGTTTTCATTCATTATAATTTTTAAGCGTTCCCGACTTGTTTATATCCTGAAAAGCTACTGATAAAAGTGGACATATGGTTTTAATTACTTGAAATCGTTGTCCGCCACTTGTACGTTTTGTTCATCCATCATTGTTTATTTAAATAACGAGAAAACTGGTAAATTGTACTCGCTTTCAACTCAGTCAGTCGATTTGTTTCTTTGCTTGAGCCGATGACGATATTTCGGTTATGGTGACTAGTCTTTTTTTCATTTGTTCGTTTTTTTTTCGAACAACGATAAAAACAAAATAATCGTTATGCTTCGTATTTTAATACGCACACAAGCATGTACTTCTTTTCACACATGATTCAGTAGGCTTTTGCTTTCCTTCGTCGCTTTTTTTTGTTTTATTATTCGATTAGAACACATTATAATGTATGTATAACATAAACATATGCTCTAAAAAGGTGTCAGTGAGAGCGAATTGATAGCATTATGGCGATGCTTTTGAATTACCTTGAACATTACCGGAAGTAGAGAAGAGAATGTGACGTTTGTTCACAGATAAGCATTACTATGTGCTTCGTTCTTTCAAGAAAAAAAAGACTAAGAAATATGTCAGTTCAAACTGTAAAAACGTGCTTTAAAGAAGATCATGACAAAATCATCGTACTTTAGAGAATTACTTTTTCAGACGTTATTCCATCAATGAGAGAAACATTTGATAACTGTTTGCAAATCTATTCTAACCGTTGTATCGACCATTAGCTTACAAACTGGATAGGAAAAATGTTTGATTACAGCATGTATTATTATTGCACTCGATTGTACAGTCACTGTTCAATAGAATGTGAAAATGTCTACACATGTTTTCTGTGAAGATGCCGACCAAGTCTAAAAGAATTTTCGAATCAGAATACGTTTTGACAGTGAATGCTTGTATCACTTTATCGCATCAAAATTAATGAAAGAAAAAAAGATTTTGTATATTTGAATTCGATAACCTTTAGCTCATATGTATACAACTTAACAGAGAAATTCCACTGGTCAATTTCGATATTACTGGAAGAAATGAATGCCTATGACATTTTTTACTACTACCTACTTGTTGTTTCTGTACAAAAAAACAACAACAAATAAAAACGTTGTCAAACGCAAATAATGATAATAGCACACCAAAGATATCTATATATAAATGTAGCTAAAGACGAGTTACTTTTTTTTTATCATGTATCTCTTTCTTCTTGCAGAATGTATCATCGCGAGTTTGTAATCATCTGTTTGGTAGTAGTTCTTGGTGGACTTTTGCTTTTTCAAACATGTCAATCGAGTCCGCTGGATGATTATGTACATGCACCTGATCCATACATGAATTGGACGGTACTTAAAACATACGACATGCCTGATTATATTTTGTATATTTTAAATTTTACCTCGCAAAAATGGCTCGATGGTCAGTACATTTGGCTTATACAGTTGCTACTCATTGTCCTATTTTCAGAAACATTCTCAAATCGACCTATTTGGTCACATTACTTGTGTATCAGTGTTCCAAATAAACTCACCCGCCCAAAAAGTGCTTTTATGTTCATCGATGGCGGTCATTTCTACGACGGGTAAATAGTCACTGTTCGAGAGAAAAAATACACCATTCTTAATATGCTTTCGACATTGAGTAGACTTCCAAAACCAGAGGACAATTTTGTCGCACTGACATCTATGTTTGCTGTAAGTAGTGGAAGTATCGGTGTCGACCTACAAGATATCGCTAATCAACCCATTCGGTTCAATGTAAGTATATTCAATCTAATCGACAGTGATTTCATCTGTCGAACTGATTATAGGCTGACTTAAGTAACAAAAGCCGTAGTGAAGATTCGCTTCTCGGATGGACATGGAAAGCCTATTTGGAGAATCAAAGCAATCCCAATGTGCTTCTACACATGCCTGTAACAAAAGTAGAAAATAGTGGTGTTTTATTAAAGAATATCTTACCGATTGTTTGTCGTATAAGGCGTGTGTTCGTGCTATGGATGCTGTCCAACAATTTCTAAGTCAACTAAAAGTTGCTGTACCCGAAAGCTTCATTATTGGAGGTGCATCAAAGGTAAGTCTAATCTGTCTGATAAGAGAAGAAAGAAATATTTTTCTATTCCTCTCGTTGTAGCATGGTTGGGCAAGTGAGTCATAGATGAGTGTTTGCATGTTTAACAGTTTGGACCATTTCATGACAAATTTAGCTTGGACAACCGCTGCCGTCGATCATCAACGTGTCATTGCAGCTGTCCCCATCGTAATGAACACAATCAATTTTCAAATGGTAAGTATTACACTGTTACATCTTCGAAAAAATACACTTACTATATTTTAGAGTTTACACCATCACTATCGAGTAAACAAATTTGAATAAATGAGAAAATCTATCGTTAGTGTGCTTGTTTTCTATAGTCACTCGTTGGTTGGACATTTGCATTTCAAGATTACTATGATTTGGGTATTACTCATTACGTAGACAGCACTAATTTGGCGAAGATGTCACAAATTATTGATCCTTATAGTAAAAGAAATATATTGTGCTGTAAATTTACATTTTTCTCGTTTCTAACGCATTTAGATTACTTTGATCGATTTGCAAATAAGAAATTGCTTTTGTTACAAACAGCAGGCGATGAATTTTTTCTACTCGATGGTGAATATATCTTCTGGAGCGCTCTTCAGGATGCCACAAATCATTCTTCGTTCCTTAGGTAGTTCATTGTATTGATATCTCTCATTGAAAATGATCTTGATTTTGACAGACGATTACCAAATGCAGAGCATTCATGTGCTGGCCATGAGATTAGTCTCTTTTTGACTATGCGAAGTTTCTACTTGAGTGTGTATGATGTGAGTTTTATACATACATTCCTCTACAGATGTGTTTATACTTTCATTCAAAGGATAAACCACTTCCATCATTCAAATGGACGAAGAATATGAACAATACACATGGCTACATTCGTGCTACAGTGGATTTCAGTGTTGGTCCGAAACCCATGAGTGCCATCGGTTATCGAGCACGTACGCTGAATGCTGACCGGTTTGTATCTAGATATTTAATCTCGTTTAAATATAAAGTTTGGTCGATTGTAATAGACGCGACTTTCGACTTCTCATCGCTAATCCTAATGACACAAGAAAAGCAATTGTTAATCCGGTACTTTGGTTGACTACATCACTTGNACTAATAATAGTTTTAATGACAATGAGTACGCAAAATACCTGATCCACGAAATCCATTCTAAGAAAATTGAAAAGTACGAAGTGTGCTCGCAGATATTATACTCGTATATGAATGTCATATTTTTATTATAAAGGTTTTCAATTTTCGAGAAAATCTGCTACGGAAGGCTACCATTTCCGACACACTCGTACCAATCCGGATCAACTTCACATGTATCTTGAGCTAGATTAGTTATACGCATCATATCATCATTGTTGATAGTAAATGGTTTCAAGAGAATATCGAGATTTTCTCGCATATGAATTTCATTCATTGATCGCGGGTTCGAAGCAACACCGAGTTGATGAATCCATCGTAATAAGATTTGTGCTTCAGTGCGTTCGTACGTTCTTGCCAACGAAATAATCACCGGATCTTGAAGTAACGTTGCATGCATACCTGTTGGTTTACCTTCATGCACAACTGGAAACTGACGTGCATCAGGTACTCCTAAAGGTGAATAAGCGACTAGTTGAATGTTATTCTTTTGACAAAATTCAAGTAGATCAGCACGTCCAGTTCGATAGTTGTATGGATTGAATGAAACTTGATTAACACTCGGCAAGGGCATACCGGCGTCGATGATTTCTTGTAAATGTGTTACGTTGTAATTGGAGACACCGATGGAACGGACTAATCCACGATTAAACAATGTGACCATAGCAGACCAAGTTGAAAGACGACAATTTTTCTCACTGTACGTCGATGGATTACTCACATTACATAACGGATCGGATGTTGGTGGTATGTACGTTTCATGAGGATGAACCATGATGGGCCAATGTACAAGGAGTAGATCAATCCAACTTGTCTGTAGTTCTTGCAAGATGATCATAGTTTGATTAATTGTGTCATTAAAGCCTAAACCAAATGTTGGTCCGACTTTGCTTAAAATGAAAATTTCCGATCGGTCAACACCACTCTGTTGGATACCTTGTGCAACGGATTTATGATTATAATATGAATTAGCGCAATCAAGGCGACGCCCACCTGCGTTATGCAACCATGTGTACACCGCCTTTTCAGTATTAGATCCACAGCCAGGTGGCGGTGGATTGATATGACCAGAGGAATCAATGTGTGGTTCAGCACCACATTCAGGATATGTACCATAAGGTTCATTATTTCCACCATAAAATCCAAGTCCAAGGCCAACAGCTGGCATTTTCAGGTTCTTTTCAGCAGCATTAAATAGAGGAAACGAAGAGTCGGGTGTTGCTACAGAAGATTTCGAGCGAGAGTGATGAATATGAGTATTCACCATCGAAATTGTTGAAATAAACACAAAAGAAAAACCGAGGAGGAATAATTGCATGACAGTGATATCACATAGATAGTCTAACTCAGAACTGATGAAGAAAAGAACACGTTTCATGTCTATATATCAAAATGCTTTATCTCCTACTGCGCTTCATAACTATTGTATGATCTATTTATTTTAAAGAAAAACTACGAAATAATAAGCACTCAACGACATGCGCACGTTTGCTGGATAACTTTGCAACACATTTTAACTTTCATTACTAATTGAAATCTTCTTCTGTTATAGTTTGTTTTTCACACGTTCTAGATTGTGTCTATATAATTGAATAGTCATTTCGTTCGAGGGCGAAGAAGATTGGACGATCGATAGAGCTCGCTCATAGAATACAACAGCTTTGGTATAATTACCCATTTTATCGTAAACATTACCAATTAGATAATTGGATGTAGCCACATCAGGTTGATTGGTAGGACGTGCTTTTTGTTTGATTTCCAACGCTTTTTCATAAGATGAAAGACTTTTCAAACAGTCACCTAATTGAAAATATACAAGACCAATATTGTCGTATGAGATAGCTAAATTAGGATGATGTGGCAAGAGTGATCGTCTGCTGATATCCAATGCACGTTCGTAGAATGATCGTGCTTTGGCAAATTCTTCGATTTGGTAATATACTGCGGCGATGTTGTTATACGTCGAAGCTAAATCCGGATGATTGGGAGGAAGTGATTGTTGACTGATTTCTAGCGCTTTTTCATAGAAAGAAAGCGCTTTTGTGTGGTCACCCATTCTGTTGTGCACTAGAGCAACATTATTGTAGGAAGTAGCTAAATCCGGATGATTGGAAGGAAGTGATTGTTGACTGATATCTAAATCTTTTTCATAGAACGTCAGTGCTTTAGCATAATCACCCATTTTCGAATAAACTCGGCCGATATTATCGAAGGAAGTGGCTAAATCCGGATGATTTGCAGGCAATAGTCGTTCTCGGATAGCTAATGCTTTTTCTTGAAATGCGAGTGCTCTGGGATATTCATGTAACTGATCATAAACAGAACCGATATTGTTATATGTCGACGCCAAATTCAAATCATTTCTTGGATATATTCGTTCTTGAATTTGCAGTGATTTTTCGAAAAACGAAACTGCTTTTGCATAATCACCTTGATTATTTCTAATCATTCCAATCATGTGATAAATATGTCCGCGTTGATGATTATCAATTCCAGGTCGTTCAATTAATGTCCGATACAGATTTTCTGCTTTATCAAGAGCATTGACTGCGAGCAACAGTTGACCTAATCGATACCATCCGACCGCGCCGCTCGTTGCATCGCGCATACTCTCCGTTAGTGCAAACAGTTTCGGATCCTGATCATTCGTCAACGTAAGATTAACTTGCCAAAGACGTTGATTGCCATTTTCAATTGATTGAACATCACCAATACGAAAGACAGTGTGCATTGAAAAGAGTATTTCTTGTTCTACGTCTTTATAATAACTAACGCTATCCAAAAGTGCAAATGGTGTTGAAGAATTCGTTGGATCAATAGTGATGTGAAAGAGAAGACCGACAGAATTCACTTTTTGTAAAGCTTGACGAGCAAATTTCAATGACACCGAACGACCTTTACTTGTTGATAAGAAATTGTTGAAAGCAAGAAATCCGCCTTTGACTTGATTGAGTTTGTTGAATTCATCTTGTGATAAACCTTGACCACGATAAACAGTAAATACCGACGAATAACTTGACGATTGTTTCCGATGCAATTGAAGAATTTGTCGATGAAGATCAGCAAGAAAGAAGCCCATCTTCAGAATAATATCCATTTCAAACACACGTAACGCATGATTTAACATACGATGAAGACAGAAGTCATACGTGTACCACCAGATCGGTGTGTGTAAGTGGTAATCTCTTTCAAATTCATTGATTCTTTTCAATTCTTTTGGATTGTCACGAAACAGTTCACGACAAAATTCAGCTAAGTCTCGGATTGATTGTTGATCAAAATCGATTTCGAGAAGAGCTTCTTTCAATAGTTGACTGTACATGAACATTGGATCAAGAACTCGATCTTGGCTGATCGAATTTGACGGCTGACTTGTCTGGACGAAACTCATCGCGATCACATCTTTATCGCACTGATGTACAGCCTGTTTCAATGCGTCACATAACGATGTTATTTCCGTAAATACACCCTTGATTTTCAGCCAATCTGCAATTCGTTGTTGATTTGACTGGAAAATATAAATGGAGTCAAGTTGACTGATATCATGAACACGAGACAAAATCTGATCGTCGATATCGCCGGAAATTATCAGGAAAATGTTTTCATCTTTGATAGTTTGGAGAAATTGGATGCATTGATTCGAATTGGTAAAAGTGAAAACACTGTTGACGATCGATCGTAATTGGGCGAGTGAGTTTTGAACGTCACTCTCGAATTCATTCATGTGATTATCGAGCCAAATGAGAAGAAAATCTTGAACGATTCGATGAGATCGAGTTTCCCTCGAGTCTATCACTCTCTCCATTTTGTGTTGAGTTGAAAGTGCAAATGATTATTTACATCATCTGATTTGTTTTTTTTTTCTTTCTTTTGTCGTTCTTCACCAGGAGTATTTTTCCGATGTGTGTGATGTCGGCACATGGTGCGCTGTTCTTTGTTTTGCTACGCATGTATTGCGTCTTTGTTAAATTGTCAAAAAAAATGAAACAATGGAAATAATTCTACACGCCAATTATTCATTGACAAGATAAACCAATGGTTTCTCCTTCATCGCATTTTGCAGTATGCTTTCAGAGAATCAGTCGGAGATTGTCATCGTTTTTTGTTACATTGAGAAATCCTCAAATGACTGAAAATGTCCCTTTTTCATCTTAATGCTTTCATTCAATCAAACAGAAAACAGGAATTCTTATGATATGACCATTGTTGATAAAAAAAAAGTCGGTAAAGTTTAAGATCTAGTTTATCGATACAGAATCGCTAGTTAAGAGTTTAGCGACATACGAACAACCTCGGTGCATCACGCATTATTCTCCCTTTGTTCAATATTACAATAGAATTGTTCTATTTTTACACCTTATCGAATCATTTGCTGCTAATCTTTTCTCCGCTTTATTCATTATATTTGCATCCATCCGCTGACGATCAGCAGCACAAACGAAGCAAACTTACGAAGAGTATGTTCTACCATTGAAGTTATACAAAAAACGTTTTCGAGAATCACTTCAACTTCGGCGTCGCAAATTCTATCGAAGCGACGGTGTAAACTTTATTTTTCCGTTCCATTATCGACGATTTGATCTTAGATGCATGTTTTTTACTTGGGAAGTAAGACGTACAGGTTGAATAACATTTCTTTGCGTCCGACGAAAGCAATGAAAACATCGTTTAGTCTCTTCACGGAAACGATTCGATACAATCAAACACATGTAGAAACCAGCCTGTAACAAAAGTTTACATGTTATACTCAATTTGTTAAACAAAAGATACTTTACTTACTCCACATCGGAAAATACCAATGTAACTAATCATATTCAAAATAAAACCTTCGATATCTCTTTGTTCATTACTTTTACACTGATAATTTGTAATAGTTGAGTAAATAGTGAAAATAGCGTACGGTAATAGCGCAATTAGAATGAAACACGCTTGTACACCAACCGTCAATAGAACTTGTCGATCGATACTTNCAAAAGATACTTTACTTACTCCACATCGGAAAATACCAATGTAACTAATCATATTCAAAATAAAACCTTCGATATCTCTTTGTTCATTACTTTTACACTGATAATTTGTAATAGTTGAGTAAATAGTGAAAATAGCGTACGGTAATAGCGCAATTAGAATGAAACACGCTTGTACACCAACCGTCAATAGAACTTGTCGATCGATACTTTGTGATCGTGGTAGATTTTGCACGGAATGAATATTTCTATAAGTAAGTAAACCAAATACGATAGTCATAATCAATGGCACTGAAACATTGAAAATCCAAACAGTAACCGAACTGTAAAGAATGAAAACTATCGGATCATTGACAACACATAAGTTCAATCTGAAAGTTTCAATGTAGAATCCATCGACATGAAGTAAAATGACTTACTGTATGCTGGTGACAATAAAAATCGGAATTCCATAGAGAAACCAGAATACAACAAGACCAATAGTGACATAACGAGCTGTTTTCATGTTACTCAAATGTCGAAGACGTGCATCACGTGAGGTGACTAGGAATTGATCAACCATTGTCAACCAATCTGCTGTTATACTAATCAATTGAATTGATATAAAAGCATATTCGCGCAGTTTACAAATGACCAATACTGTCTGTGTTAGATTAACACCGAAACCGGATGAAAGTATTCGACCGAACGTTGCGTAAATTAAATGAACAAAACATCCGGCAGATGATAGTAGTATGAAGAATATGCACGGTTTCACACGATATTGGCGGCGTGTTGAGAATAGAAGTATTTTCATAACAGTACCAAACATATTAATGATGAATACAGTGATGCCGAGATATCGAGCTACGTTTTGAGTAACATACGACCAGAACACCATGTTTTACCACTTTTCCACAATGCGAATATTGCGATTTAGTTTGTATCTCTTGATCTCATTACTTAGAAAAGGGCATTTCCATAATTAATTCTTTAATAAGAGAGAAGGTGCTTGTCTATTAAAAAAATAATGAGAACGCATTAGATATGATTTATAAACATTTTTGCTTTGTTCTCTATATTTAGATAATGAACCGTATACTCGTTTGGAAATCCTTGAAAAAAAAGTGCGCATCATGTTCAATTATAATGTAAGTTAAGAGTTACAAAGTCACAGACAACTAATTTGTAATATTTCAAAAACTGTTGTTTCATAAATCATTGCACCCTCAAGAAAGTGAACTTGTTCGTCTCGGCTTGAATAAATTGCCAATATTCGAAATCAATAAATGTAATATCGTTGCTCTGATGGTCATGGCGACATAGAGAATCAAATCTGAATTGAGTTCAAGGGGAGGCAAGATGGACTGTGTACTGATATTGACGTCGGACTTGACGAATGAAATTCTACGAAGAAAGCGTATTGCTCATGACGAATTCAACCTGTGTCAGTCTGTAGTATTAACGTTGCTCGAAGAATGCATAATATCAATGAGAGCTGAAACGCAGAAAAAATCGTCCTCGAAGTTTAACTGACAAAGTGCGTTTATTTAATCTTGAGGATGTGTGACGCAAGTTCTTGAAACAGATGTATGATAACATTTCAACGTAATTGCTATTGTATTTGCTATGCTTTTATTTGAACCATATAAACATTTCATTATTCTTTTCCAAAGTAATTATCGCGGACCATAACACCTGTATTATAGTTGCTGATCAGGATAAGTATCGTTCGGCTGTGGTTATCGAATAGCAAGGATTTCTTGCTTTCGAATTGAACCCAGCCGATTCATACGAGATTGACAACTGTAAGGCTTTCTGTACAGCATCATCCATTTAATAGAGAAAATATTTTCAATCCTGAAAAGTACAAATTTATTTCTACCAGTCTCGAACATCATATAAATAAAACAGAATCTGTATTTCAATGATAGTTCAGTCGATGTTGACTTTGAGTTCAAATATGAATGATAAGCAAATAAGATAAAAGTACAGGTATTCCTAACAATATAAATATCAAGAAAAACTATTATCGTATTGAACGTTTATGACTTAATTATAAAATATTGATGAAGGTCATATGTCTACTGTTACAACTTCGACATTGAACTCAACACTCTTGCCTGAATAGTGAGAATATTCAGTACGTTTTCTTCATCTGGTACATTATTTTCATTGTATTGACGTCATCAAGTTATGAATATATTAAAACAAGGATTTCTGTGAAATATTTGCAAGATCTTCGATCCATTTTCATCAGCTGATTGATCTTCTGTGTTAATATTTATATATTTTAATATGCTCAAACAGCACAACTATTTCCATCTCGAAAGCGCCGCTTTTGTATGCATTTTCTCTCTTTTATTCTAACATCCTAAACAAATGTCTTTGCGTTGAGTCACATAGAATGAAGTCATAGATAGTAGTTTCTCGTATCAATTCTCTGCGCTCTTAGGCGAACACACAGCCGAAGAACTACTTGCATTTATTAGTTTTATCAAAATAAATGCTGGTAGGAGAGAAAAATCGAGCAATTAGTTTTACGTTGACGTTGAAAAGGCTAATTGAGAATCAATGATAATGTGCAAATCGTTCTGATTTTGTCCATCGTGATATTTGAAATACAAATGATAGGCAAAAAGCTACTTCAGTAGATGCATAAAATATCTCTAGATCGTTTTTCGAGATGTAGAACATCCGATTTTTCTTCCACTTCTTGTCTTCAGAACAATATGTGCTGGAAAACTGTGTGGAAGACGAAAATGTTCTTTATCAGAAATAAATATAATGTTCGTTAAAAAAAGGTTTATTCCACAAATTCACCATCAACTATTCATTCAATTCTTCATTTGATCAAATACGCGCATGTCATAGTAAATTGTTCAACAAGAGTATTTTTGCTAACACTCAAATACTCTTGTGCCAGACATTTGAAAATCGATGATGACGAAAAATATTCTCCTTTATAATTGTAAGTAGACCGGATACGTCAGTTAGGAAAATCTATGTATGCTATAAAAAGATACTCTGCCTCTTCAATGTCATCTAGAAAATGATGACTATACACTTAGAAGAGGAGAAGATTGGATCAAGATTCTGCGGAATTGTTGTAATGATAAAAGTAGTCATAGGTAGAGAGTGCAGCAGGTATGCGATAGCAATTGAAGCTATAAAGATACTTTTGATTATTTTCTCAAGCTCCCAGAAATTCTCTAATTACTGAATTTTATATAACTGCGAACTGTTTTGCGCAGTCATCACATCCATATTTAGAATTACGTATTATAGCTCGGAGAAAATGCGAACGTCTGAAGGAAGAATCAACTAATTAATACTGATTTTTCCTACATATCCATATCATGAATCGTGATATGGATAATGAAATTCTGATCGAGAATATTTCACTGTTTCCTGAAGAGGATGTATCATGTAATATTTGAATTTCGCTTCGCACTGTTCTACTAGAACATCCGCATTCTGTTTAGAGACATCATAAAGACCTGAAAGAAGCATATGAAACATAGACCGCAATAAACGCTATCTTGAAAGTGATTGATGCAGCGAGAAGCCCTCAAAGGAACATGGCGAAGTTTATTATGCATTGAAATGATCTGCTCGCGCATGGCATTCGTCGAAGATTCGTTTCTCTTCTAAGCAATAAACAAATAGTTTAGAAGTTCTCGCTCTGTACCAATTGTTTAGACAGGCAAAAACACGAAGAAAACAATTATACCAGCATTCCCTCTTTCCAAGCTGAGATGGGTACAGATTTTGGTAAGAAGTAGAGTAACTTTAAAGCACAATCCATCATGCTTAAAGTTATTTGAGAAAAGTATGAAAGGAAACTATCGTAAAACACTTTATCTATGCATTACCTTTTTCCTAATCTTTTTAATGTCGAAGTAACCAATGACAATCTAAGCCGCGATGTATTCGCCTACTTCTTTTCCTGTTGCTTTTTCATACGTAAGTGAGTAAAATAGTTAATTCTCAAGATTTCCTGCTAATATTTCGATTTTAATATTCTCATCAAATTGGCGCCCTATAAGTTCGCCATCCACTCTTATCTGTAGCAATTAGAGTTGTAGCAATTGACGTTGACGGAACAAAGTTTGATATTAATTTACGCACAAATGATTCACAGTAGCCAAATGAGATGTGATACTTTGTACGCGGTTCACGTATTTCAAATTCATTTCTTCATTAATATATTTACTGAGAGTTAATCCTTTAAGGAATAACGTGACTTATAGCAAGGAATTAAATTAATAATTTGAGCTACAGCGAAGTAAAATTCATCTTTTATCTTAATTCGACATTTACAACTACGTCATATTTACATATATAGAGCAGATTCCTACTCAATATTCCATTAATAAACAACATGTCTCTATCAGTAACGCTCACGAATATTTACTACGATAGTATTCGATACTTCATGTCCGGAATCTTTTTCCTTGGAACTACTGGTTCACTCTTAAACATTATCCTGTTTTCTCGTCGGAAACTACGGCAAACATCATGTTGCATCTGTATGTATTAATATTTATACTTGATCTCAGTCTTCTCTTTTATATATTTTATAGACTTTCTTGCAGCATCGTTCAGTAGTCTTCTCTCATTATTATTTGGTTTGGTTCCGACATTTTATTTACTTAACAATGTCTATCCTGGCAATTATTCTGTTGTCTTTTGCAAAATGCAAAGCTACATCACTCATACAAGTCTTCAAATGACACGCGTATTTCTTGCTCTTGCTTGTTTTGATCGCTATGCGCTTAGTTTAGGAAATAATTATCTCCAAAGATTTGCAACGGTCACTGTTGCATGTCGATGTATTCCTATCGTAATATTATCATGCTATTTAATTGCCATTCATTTGGTTATTTATCTGGATGTTGTTAATAGTTCTTGTGGTATTCGTTACGCACCAGCATTGATTTATAACAGCGTTTACTCGATAACAATAATATCGGTTACGCTGCCTTTGTTTATGTTCACTTTTTCCCTTTTAACATGGGTGAACTTGAAGCGTCGTCAAAAGCAACGACAACAAATGAACACGGGATTGATTCATCGGGATATAATTCGTGATAGAAAGGTCTTTTTCACACTGTCAGTGCAATTAATCCTGTATTTCATATCAACAGCATTGTATGCACCAAATATAATCTATACGACAATCACGCAAAACATGCCGAAATCATCGGATCAACAAGCAATCGGCGTGTTTATTAATCGAATTGCACTTTTACTCATTTATGTTTATCCTGGGCTGTCGTTTTCAGCATTTACACTTTCCTCGGGAACCTTTCGGAGAGAATTAATAAATCTATGGCGTTTCCTTCCAATTCATTGCGTTCGAGGAACAACAGTGACACCACATACGACATCAAATCGAAGGACGCTGAATTTAACAAACAATCAATCATGATGAATTCGAAACACTGTATTGTCTTGTGAAATTTGAAAATAAATTGAGTCATGATGAAATCACGTTTACCTCTACACTGTTGAGTTTGATACTTTGACGTTCTGTGTACAAAGAATTTTTACCCAGTTTCGTGAGTTGTTTTCAAGATGGAGCGAGTAAAACGATCGCAATCGTCGGATAAAGTATATCATGACCATTTGAAAAGAACAAAATGCGATGGTATAGCTTTTGTTATGAATACGAAATTTTGTTACCGTTCGTCTTTAGGTAAATCCAGTGTATTCGAACAATTATCTAACGAAATTCTTTATGAAATATTTGAATATCTCGATCACTATCATGCATTTCAATGTTTCTATGATCTTAACCAGCGATTTCGAAATCTCTTCTATTCGAAACTACCGATTAATACTCATCTGCGGTCGATATCCAAAGCAGAATTTCACTATTATCTGACGCATACGATTATTCCCGACGCCGATCGAATTCAGTCTCTACAGATTTCTCATCCATTCGTAGTTGAATTGTTTTTATCGTTATCTTGTGTTATGACGAAGTTCACTCGATTGTCAAAAGTTGATATACATATGATCTCGGTAGATTCTATTGAACAAATAATCGATTGTTTATCTTCCATGTCTTTCCTTTCGTCATTAACGCTTTCATCGATAGCCAAAGTGAAAAATGTAAATGAAATTTGCTTTCGAATATTTCGCCTGTCTTCGTTAAAATATTGTTCCTTGTCGCTTCCAACACTTCGGAAATCGGTATCCGGAAGTATTACCGAAGATCCAACGAGTCCTATCGAATGTCTGATCATCAAAAGTGCTGTATATATCGAACAAGTTTCTTATTTTCTATCATTTCTTCCGAAACTACGTCGTTTATCGATCGATCATTTAACAGCCGTAAGACTCCATCAAATACATCACAAGCCAAGAATTTCAGAGCGTTTGTCAGAGATATCTCTCGTAATAGATGCCTTCTCCTTTGGTCATTTTGGAGAATTCGCCGCCTCCTATTTGCAGCATTTACGAGTCTTACGGTTGGTTTTCCATCCTAGTAAATACAATCGTAACAATAGATTCGTAATAGATGCTTATAATTGGGAACAGACGATTCGAAACTCAATGCCATATTTAGAAACCTTTGACCTTGAGTATGTACATCATATGCCTGTGAGCGAACGCGAGCAAGATGAGTACCACGAATCAATAAGCAAATTTTACGGATCGTTTTGGAGGGAACATGGATGGTTTTTTGAACGTCAAGATTATCCACAGTTTGAGATAGGCGTTTTTTATTCAAGAAGTCTACACAAGTAAAGATTATGAGATGTTAGAAAGTGAACTTCCTCTTTTATTTTAGAAAGAGATATGATTTATTGTTCCACGAATCGTTGAGAACCAGTTGGCCATTGTCTTCGAAAAATCCTATGCATCATGTTTACTTTCGTAGTATAGAGATTATGAAAGAATCGACGAGCTATTTTCCCAATGCCACGCATTTAACTTTAACAGAATATTTAAATGTGAATGATCTTCATGAGTTCCTTCCACTGCAACGGCTGATCGAACTAACACTTACACCTTTGAAATTTCCTTTCGAACAGTTGCTGAAATTATTACAATTTGCACCAAATCTGCATAAAATTACATTATCTTGTACTATATTTGATCAAGTGGAAGATAATTTAATTCAATCCAATGAATTGTTCCAGAACGTATCCAAAACAAACATGATTACAACAGTAATTGTCCATCGAACGATAGTAAGATGTAAACTTCCAGTGATAACTACTCTTTTTTCTCGAACGAGGTATCTCTCGTTGCATTTACATAAAGAAATTCTTCGTCCAATCATCTTACACCTCTTACCGGCTTCGAATAGCCGTATTCCATACTTATCAACGTTGTGTCTGTCATCTCAACAGAACAATCTGATGAAATCATTACAAACGATCATGAAATCAACCAATATTCTTCCGGAGTATGAAATGAAAACGATCGGTCGAAATTTAGACCTGTAGTGGTAAACTTTAATCATACTTGTTGTTCTTCTTTCAATTAGAATTATTATTTACTCACTGTGAATGCTTTGCAAAAAATTAAAACAAATACAAATATAGGAATTGAATTGAAAATAAATGAATTTCACGGATAAATAAACTATACAAAGTTGTCTGTGTGAATTTTGTTCGGAATGACGGAGACAGCGCATAGGAAGTTATTTTTGTAGCGTCAGTTGCATTTAATGTTGCCGATCTTTCCATCAAAATAGGGGAACCTTCTAGCAGACTGTGACAGGAATGAGTAAAATTTAGCGTTTCGATTGTGAAAGTCAGCCGGCGTAGAATTTCAGTTGTCGAGGTGATACTACATCATTTCTTTTCTCCTCTCTTTCCATTGGATTATGTTTGTAGTCTCCAAGAGTAATAACTGCCAAGTGTGTTTCTTCATATGGAATATTTTTACCTTTCTGTCGGTTGCTTTTAATATTATATAGATCTAAAACTTTCGAGCAGAATATCACAGAATGGCATCAAATGTAACGTAACATAACTTACTTTTGCATGAAAAAATTTCATATTTTGATTTTTATAGAATACAGTACAAGTAAACATCGAGGAACATAAACGAAAACTGTTCATACAGAATATCAGCTCTGAAACAACGCAGCAATCATTACGACGTTATTTTTCCGGCTATCCCATCGATCGAGCTGCTGTTCCAAAAAATGACAAAGGTAAAGATCTTACCTTTGCCTCTATGTAGAAGATGATGTATTTATTCATACAATAGGACACACCCGATTGCATGGAATTGTTACATTTGCGAATGAAGCAAGTGTCGATGCTGTGATGGAACAACGTGGTCATCGAATTGATGGTAAGGAAGTTTTCATTCATCGATCAGTTCCAAATCAAGGAGCGTCACTCAAAGACAGCTGTGGAATTCAACAACTGATTGTTTCGATTTCAAATAATCGGACATTAACTGGAACAACGATTCAGGAATATTTTAAAGCATATGGCACAATTGTTCACAGTGATTGTAGCAACGATGGTAAAGACTGGACGATTGACTTTGATTAGTAAGTTGCTAATGTATACGAATGTATCACGGAAATCCCTTCGCACATTGATTTTTACTGATAGTTATGATTCAGTGGATCGAATTTTGCTGGATTGTCCGCATTGTATTGGTGACGTTGATGTGGAAGTGAAGAAAGGTAATCGGCGATCATTAATGCAAGAAAAAACCACCATTACCGAGAGTATACCAAGAAAATCCAGTTTAAAACAAGTGAAAATGAGTATGTTTGTGTATGTGACGTTCTTCGCTTCAAATTCTTGTTGTGTTTTTTCACAATATTTTAGATGATACCGTTGCATGTATATATATACCTGAAAAACGATATCGTGTTCATATCACAAACTTACCGAATGATATAAATGCTGAAGAGTTGTCACGAGAATTTACTTGGAGTATTTACGATATTGTTATGGCTCCATCCGACAATTATTTTAATAGAAAAGCCGAATGCTGGTTAAAATATGCGGATAATGAACGAGTCATAAACAATTTTATTACAAAATGGCATGAAAAGAGCATTCACCAATCAGTTATTCATTGTGAAAAAGAAGAAGATGAGTTGGAGTTATGTAACAAATTTCAATTTGGTCAGTGTACACAGGACAACGACTGCCACTGGGAACATATAAAGTGTACAGCAAACGGCACCTGTGCATCGACGTGCCCTTATGGTCATGAAAAATATGTGAAGTCTGAGCATAGTTATCTAAATGGTATAGACCAATTTCAGTGTATCTGTTGCAGAAGAAAGAGCTTTTCTTTTCTCTTTTTTAGACATAAAACCAACGTCTACTACTTATCGAATCAAAATGAGTGGCTTTCAAAAAGAGGTAACACCTGATTATCTCAAGCAAACATTCGGTTCAAACAATTATTATATTGACCGAAAACACGATCGTGTTGGTTATGTAGTAAAAATCAAAACGATGAAGTTTGCAAAAAAATTAATGAGCAAATGGCATAACGTGAATATCGATGAACAAACTATAAAATGTCAACTAGAACTGAATCCAGTACTATCTAATTCAGTTAGTCGCTCTCGATCAGAAACAGCATCGCTGAATGGAGAAGAAAAACGTCAACGTTCTCGTAGTCGTCCGCAAGATACATATAGTCTACGAAGCAATCTAGAGATGAATAAGGATAGCACTAGTGACTTCACGTCCAAATCATTCGATAACAAAGAACTGGGCCGAGACGATCGTATTTCAGGTAAAGCTATGCGTGATGCTACCCGTGTTTCATCTCAACCCAATATTGCATCAACGATCAACGGCACAAAACGTAAATGCGCTTTTTTTTCTTATACAAGCACGTACGATCAGATATAGCGTTATTTTTAGACACATCACCGAGTGGTGTATGGAAAGATGAATGGGAAATAGCACACAAAGCATCGCACAGTGATGGGAAAGTACTTCTCATACGGCATATTGAAGATCGAGAACTGACTACCATGAAAAGTCCCAAAGGTACAAGAGTAAACTATTCGATAGAACATTATTGATGTAATATTGTTGTCGTTTAGATGTCAAAGGTGTTAGTCATTTGATTGAGCCCGATAGCGCGTCAAACAATATCGCCCGACCACATGCAGCCAACGACAAACAATGGATGATCACGGAGCGAGCACCAGGGTGTTCATTGGAAGAATTCATCCAACGCAACGCTATAAATGATCTTAACATGCTATCCATCGTTCAACTGACACTCAAACTGACTGGTATTCTACGAGACCTTCATCGTAAAAAGATCTTTCATCAAAATCTCTCACCAAAAAATATCATGATTGAATGGGATCGCAATCGTTCGATGAATGATGCTCAACTGACGGTGATCAATTTCAGTCAAGCAGTTAGGGCATCCAACAGAACACACATCGCAACAACTTCATCAGCAAACAAATGGTATGATGCACCACAATCAAATGACGAGGCATTTGTTTCGACAGTTGATGCATCTGACGTTTGTGGTATTCTCTTCTGGTTGTTGACAAAGAACAAACCAGTACGTAGCAGAGCTGAACTACCTCATCAACAGTTTTACGATAGAATCAATGATGTTAGCAGGAATGCTGCTCAAGCCATTGGTATGTGTCCAGAGTTGAATGCTTTGCATTTAGATACAAGAAGAACGGCTACTCTTGGAGATCAACTCAAGAAGTATCTGTTGAATACATTTGATCGTGCTTTCGGTTATCCGGGTCATCATCCATGGACACTCGATGATCTCGAATGTCGTCTCAAGTCAATTCTTCATCTACTCATCCCGGTCGAACCGAAACTTGATGCAGTAGATGGTATTATTCAGGAGTTGATTTTCATCTCCAATCCATCAACAGTTACTTCGACCGTGATGGACAATGTTTACGACGAGAAGTTTGAAAAGGCATCGCAAGCATTCTATCAAGCGAAGAAACATTTCATTGATAGCGGACGAAATCAATATGAATGGTCGTATGGTTGTTGTACATGGATTCATCACCCGCAGAAATCGATAAATGAATGTTACAATGATGATATACTCACATATCATTCGAGTCGAGGAGGAACAACAACTACTTATTCAATAATTGTTAGATGTTTAGCAAAATGTAGTGAAGAAGGTCGAGTGATTGTATTATCGATCAGTAGTGATGTAAACGGCAGAACGATCGAAATTCCAATCGGCGAATATTCGACAGCTCAGAATTATCATAAGGATGTGGTTGAACTTTTTCAAGTAGAACTAAAAAATCTACTCTTGGCTGTTTATATCGAACGCACTTCCTTGATTCCAAAATCTTAGTTATTAATTATGTCTTTTTTTTGGAAACCACATTGTATAATAAATCTGTCTCGAGTTTATAATTAGAAATAAATGCTCGAAATAGTTTGCCCATGTATGATCAACGTTGAGATCCTTTAAGTTATGTGCATAGTTCGTGTTGCGAGGAAGCAGGAGAACAAGTCCAACAACCAGGTGTGTGGAGGGTAGACTGGATGCAGGAATTATGCAGAAAAGCTTGTGCGTACAAATGTCAATATTGATGTACTGTTTCGAACATAAACGACGGCACTCATTTTCTCTGAATACTTCTTCTTCTTTCGACCTCTAGCCAAAACGGAACTCCTTTTAAAAGAGAAACTTGCGTACAAGTAGACACTTGAATCGAATGATGCAACATGGTGAATTATTGTGTGATACGTAAGAAAAGTCCGTTATGATCAAGAATGTGCGATGAGAGAAGATTCATGATATTATTTTATCAAATATTCTATGCATAGAAATCTTGGAATACATTGCTTGACATATCTCATTGTCACAGTTACCAGTTTTCTCGATTCATTTACTATTTCATCTACTTCTGAAAAGAAAAACAGATCATTGTCCACAAAATCGAATTCATCGTGTCAAATTTAAACTTTGTAGTTGAACATATTGATAAGACGCACAAGAAAAATTCATTTCTATCATCAACAGTAGACGTCGTACATGACTGAGAATGAAATTCATAGTTACATATTTTACTGACAATTAATACGCCTAATTACCATTCAGCCTTGAAATAAAACTATGTTACTGATGTCGTATCTAAATCATAGTTAACACGATGGGAAAGAATTGAATTTCAAAATGTTTCGTCCCATGAAATGCATACAGGATAATAAAACTCTCGGCATCACAGCTGTTAACAATGGTCTATACGATTCAACAGTCGTGATAAAATTCATACACATTCTCAACAGTGATGAGTCGAACTCGAATCTACGGCACAGATAAACTTTTTAATCCAGTAAAGCTTTCGTTGTTGACAAGATGCGACACTCTAAAAGTCTCATTCGTGTTTGGCTAAGACGAAAAAAGTTCATAACTTATATGATAGTTCTTCCAGTGGATGCGGAATTTAAAAAGTATGCAGTAATTGATTTGGAGAATTTTGGTTTAACAAACAGTGATCAAGTTGCGTGTACATCAGAAGTGTTTCTATTCATTTTAAGATTTATAAAACCTCTTGAGAACCAAAGCGTTGCTGCATTTATTCGTTTTCGTATGACGTTGCTACGAATATTTTGAGAATAAGAATATTTACACAGGAACAAAGACCGCGTTGTCTTTCAGCACTTATCAAATTCGAAAAGATAAGCTTGGTTGACTGCTATCTAGCAAGTTACCTTTTCTCAACATCATTCAGTATCAACGTTGGAAAAAACGAAAACACCACAGAAATGAGTGAACAGACAACAGTCGCCTCTGAAATAACAAATCAATATCATCGTTTAAATATTGAACAGATGCAAGAGATCCTCGTGGTCTGGTTGGACACTGGTATTAACAGCAATAATCCAGATTATCAAAATGTCATTCAACAACTACAGTGCGTTATCGATGATATTCATACATTCACTAATAATGATGAATGTATCGACTGTATTCTCACTCTCACCGACACAAATGTTTGTTTGATCACGTCAGGATCACTGGGGCAACTTATTCTACCATGTATACATGATATTTCAAACATCGATTCGATCTTCATTTTCTGTGATCACCAAAATCGACACGAACAATGGGCCAAACACTGGTGCAAAGTGAAGAGTGTTTCCATTGATATTATACATATTTGTGAACAATTAAAGAAACTCATTCGTCGATATGAACTCAATGCTATTCCTATGAGTTTTGTACAATCTGGCAAACGACTAGATCGACTAGAGCCATCATTTATGTATACAAAGATCATCAAAGAAATACTTTTAACAATTCAATTTAAGGATAAACACATCAAACAATTCGTGAAGTATTGTTGTGATAATTTCGTTGATACTGAAGTTGATCGAAAGAAAGTGAAAGAACTGGAAGGCGAATATCATCAACACACACCTATTTGGTGGTATACAGCACAAAGATTTTTATACGGTATGCTGAATCGTGCATTACGAGTGATGGATGGTGAAGTGATCACATTGATGGGCTTTTTCATCAGTGACCTTCATCGACATATTGAAGAATTGCACAAACAACAGTTTGGTGATGCATCTATTGCTAAATGCTGTACAGTTTACCGTGGTCAGGGTTTAATGAAGAAAGATTTTGATGAATTGACGGAAACGAAGGGTGGGCTGATGTCATTCAATAACTTCCTGTCTACCAGTGAGAATCGCAACGTTTCTCTTTTTTTTACTCCAGGAAATCGAAAGAACAGTGATGTGGTCAGTGTTCTATTCGTGATCACTATTGATCCAAAGCAATCAACAACCTCATTTGCTTCGGTTCGCCACATCAGTCAGTTTCCCGAAGAAGAAGAGGTACTGTTTTCGATGCACAGTATCTTTCGTATAAGGGATATTCAGCCCATGGATGGAAATGAGAAAGTGTACGAAGTGGCGTTGTCATTGACGAGTGACAATGACGAAGAATTGATGGTACTTACTGAACAAATTCGAAAAGAAAGCTTTCCAAATGCCGACGGATGGTCACGACTGAGTCTAGTACTCGCTGACATAGCACAGCCAAACATTGCTGAACGAATCTGTCAAGTTCTAATTGACGAAACGCCTTCTGAAGACTCTGGAATCGATGTCTATAATCACCTGGGTAACATTAAATACCAGAAAGGACAATACGAGGAGGCAATAACACTTTTTCGAAAATTTCTTGAACTTCGCTTGATGTCATCTTCTCCCAATCATCCAGATGTGGCTACATCCTACAACAACATCGGTGCAGCGTATTCTGCCATGGGTGATTATCCCAAGGCACTTTCATCATATGAACAAGCTCTCAAAATTCAACTACAATCACTTCCTCCCCATCATCCAGATGTGGCTTCATCCTACAACAACATTGGTAATGCGTATTCTCACATGGGTGATTATCCCAAGGCACTTTCATCACACGAACAAGCTCTCAAAATACGAGAACAATCACTTCCTCCCAATCATCCAGATGTGGCTTCGTCCTACAACAACATTGGTAATGCGTATTCTGACATGGGTGATTATCCCAAGGCACTTTCATCACATGAACAAGCTCTCAAAATTCAACTACAATCACTTCCTCCCAATCATCCAGATGTGGCTTCGTCCTACAACAACATCGGTGCAGCGTATTCTGCCATGGGTGATTATCCCAAGGCACTTTCATCATATGAACAAGCTCTCAAAATACGAGAACAATCACTTCCTCCCAATCATCCAGATGTGGCTTCATCCTACAACAACATCGGTAATGCGTATTCTGCCGTGGGTGATCACAGGACTGCTTTATTATTTTGCACAAATGCTGTTCAAATCGCTCAAAAAGTGTTAACATTGACACATCCTCACCTTCAAGTGATTAAAAGAAGCTTGGAAAGAGCGAAACAAAAACTATAAGTTTTGCATATTGTTTTGGACGGAACCGTGTTCAAGACGTTTTGCAGTTGTGAATGAGCTTCGCCGGCTGAATTAGTTCTACAATAATCGAAGATATGTGAGCGGACCAGCGGGAAAGATAGCAGGCGGGAGTGAAAAATTTGGGAAATTTTTTTTTAGAATTGTTTCGTATCGCGAAGGCCATTTTTCAGTTATAGTTTCGATAGCTTCGTATACTTTGACAGAATGAAAGATTACTTTTGACTTCGCAAAATAAAATAAACGTGTCAATATGGTTAAATTATAAAAAAACAAGTGTTGTAGCATAGTTATTCGATTTTCAGTTAATCAACATGTTGCTTTTTGGATCAATTCTTTTCACTGCGGTTGTTGAGATAAGTTTTAGTGTCTCAGATTTCGACGACATGAGTTGTAAAATGCTTCATGTTTGTTGTGATAAAAATGTGTTGAATCACGTTTAAAATACAATTGGAAGAAGTTTTTATGACGTTTTATTATTAAAATGACTGTTTTCAGGAAATGCATCAATGCGCAAATCGAGTAAAGAGGAAACTAACGTTTTGTAAGTAGTTTAAAGATGTAGACTAAATACACCAAAGTAGCGTCCACAACTGATCAAGTATAATCTCTTTTGTAATTATAAAAAAGACCGAAATTCGGAAACTTTTCGAGACCTTTCGGGAACGTCTAAAACCTACGATTATGATTTATGAAAGAGTTCTCAATATCTGTGTTTATTCTCTCATCTTCACTAACATCCTTCGTTTCAATTTCACATCCTAATGACGAAGAGAGCGATTAGCGTTGTGTCGGAGAGTTAAGCATGTTGCTAATCTAGGCTATTAGGATAATAATCATTTTTTGATCAATCAGATTGTAGAAAACAAAACGAATTATAAAGATAAATCATAGTAGCTGTTCGAGCCTCAGTGAGATTTGAAAGAACTTCAGTTAACTATCGATAGCATTCAGTTTGAGTTCGTGAATGTAGAAGAATTTCTTGTAATATTTGTTGTGAATTATTATGTCCAGTTGAAGATACTTATAGATCATCAACGAAGACACATCGATAAGTTTAATACCCATAAATTAAGATTCTCGCGAGTTTTATCCATTTGCTGATGCACCTACATATAAAGTAATTAATTTACGAAATGTGATGTTTGTAGTTGAATTTTAGCAACTAATCTTTTCAAAGTTTTCTCAAAGTTAACCGACAAAGAAAAGTCTATGTATAATTGATCACTCTCTATCTGGTTTGTAGAATAACTCAACCAAGTACAGAACAAAATCAACATCTCTCTCTTTTTCATATAAAAATTTTACAAATAGATTCCACGACCAATGAGCTGCAAGAAAGTAAATAATTTTCGAAAATATTTTTCGGTGGTAAAAAATAGAACAATAAGTAACATCAATCTTTCGTCGAAATATGGGGACTCATGCACTACCTCAATCAATGTCCGCTTTCTTCTGTTTAAATTTCCTACAAATAGAACCAACCACTCTTTACTTTCCAGTTCGAAGTTTTTCAAAACGAATTCGTGAAGGCATTTCAAATGATGAAGTATGATAATAACTGACTCAGAGTTATATCTCTTGCTCTTTTCGTCACATGCTTCAACAAGAGAAAGAAAATGATAAAAGAAGAAATTTGACCTTTGTTTGATTGTATAAATCTGATTCGAATCGTGTTTATATCCGCATTCATAGACAAGATGAATTGTAAACCTATAACAGCAGACGCAGAGAAGAAAACTATGGTGAATACAAGATCACGCGTGAAACCGATGCAGTATGCATTCAGATATAAACCCAATAGTCAATTACAAAGAATTCGATTTTTTGTGCTGTTTCTCATCACTATGAATTTGGTAGATGGATAAAAACATCTTACTCATGTAATGAAACATTTCTTTTAGTTACTCAGGTTGTTGTTTATAGTCAATCCTTTGTTCTTCATGTTTCATCGAACTACCAGAGCATCTTATATCATTCGTGTCTTTTATGTATTTACTTCGTTTGACGACATTTCAAGTGAATTTTCTTGCCTAACAACATGTCTAATCTCGTTTTTTCTTACTATAGCCATTTTTGCTTTGTTCTACTCGATCATGTTTCTGATCTTCGTTGTGAAATACAGAAGAACAGGTATTTTAAATGTTAGTCATCTTACAACTCTAACTTTTATCTTTACGTATTCACTATTCATAGTGCGTGTGGATTCAGATGCTTGAATTAGTCAGTGTTTTCATCAGGATCACACGATTTCTATACTATCAAAAATACAGTTTCTTTGCCAAAGAACTTCTTGCTAGAGAATACGCTATGTTTACAGGTATAGCACTAACGTACTGCATCCTCACGGTGAGTATTTTGTTCGATTTGATCACTAAGCGATAGTTTTCGTATTGAATACCTTTTAGCTTTTAATATTCATATTCACATCGAAATTAAGGAGATTAATGAAAAATTCGAATGTTGTGTATAATGCAAATGCAATCCCAATAATAGTCTGAGAAAGAACGGTAATTTTTGCACTTTTATTTATTCAAGATTTTGATCAATAAATGAAATATTCTTCGAAGTATTGAAAATGGGTCATTGATTTCTGCATTCGGTCATACGTTGCCTCTTATTATATAGTTTGTGTTCTAATACAACTCATAATATGCTTAGAGATCCAATGGATGATTACGAAAGTATTTGTTAGCAAAGTAAGAAAACAGAATGAATAATATTTGATTATTCAGTTAATAAGTTTTTACACAGATCATTGGGTTGAATAACTACAAACCATCGATTGAAAAAAAACCGAAAATCATGTCATATTCATTGTATTCACCTTTTTCAAATACTTTCTTAACTATGGTGCGAAATTACTCTACAACGATTGTTTGATTCTTCATCAGTTATCTGACAATCTTTTGTCAGCATTCTATACGTAATCGAACAGGAAGGACTATAGAACAAACTGTATTTCTGGAAAAGAGCAATGTACCATTTGGTGTAATTCTCGGCAGTGCTTCCACCAATGTACCAACCTAGTCAAATGGTAACAATTCATACTATTCGTATGTGGATAATTATCTTTACGGTGTCAAGACAGGCACGAAATGGCAATGTATTGAATATGCTCGTCGATGGTTGTTCATTCGAAAAGGTTGCATTTTTAAAGATGCTTCTATGGGAGCTCAAATGTGGGATCAATTGAGTTATGTCGAACGAGTCATCGACGGTAAACTTTTCCCGTTGAAAAGATATTCAAATGGTTCACCAAAACCATCGAAAAAAGGTTCACTTCTCATCTATAAACAGACTTCTGACTTCCCCGTTAGTCATGTCACCATCATTGTTGATACGGTAATTACATTTATTTCACACTTGGGTTCGAACAAAATATAAAAATGACATGTTTACGATATTTTCTCTGTCGTGGAAAAAGAAGAATGTGATTATGATACTTTTACATCGCCATCCATCTCCAAAAGTCACTGGAGCGTTTGAAGCTCTTTCATGCCGAAGCTACGAGTTAGCAGCATTAATAATACCGATAATCGCTCCAATAATTCCGGGAACCACGCATAGAAGACAGTAAAGCACAACACAGACACAAGTACCGTTGCACTTGCTGGAGCTGCTACTCCTTATCGGCTGATGTACAACACGCGGTGTATACACTGATCCCGTAATCGCGGGACGTGGATTACTGAGCGACTGTGCAAGTCGTTGCATAGGATCAAAATAATTTCTTTTCATCCATTCCATTGTATAGGTCATGATTTGATGAACCTCACGAACTTGTCCGGCGATGACAATCGATTCGGCTGCTAGCAGATGCTGACGAACTTGGTTCACTTTGTAAAATTTATTACTGCTACCTTGGCATAACGCATCACTATGGAAGAAAACACGGTCATCGAAGACGTCGGGACTAAAAGTGTAGCACACCACGAGAAGTTCCTTTTGTTCACTGATCGACAAAGAGTACCAGCTTCTGTAATTCGTGAAGCGTTGAATGTCTGGATCGCGATTACAGTCGATAGCTGTACACACACAATTCAGATAGTACATCAGCCGTGCCACATCGTTGTTTGGTACCGTTACTGATACACTATTTTCTTCCAAACTAAATTCATTTCTATGTAATACGACAGCCATCTTATTTGAAATAAACACTGGTACAACTTGTTGTCTTCTCTAGAAGTACTACCTGCAAGACTTGTTGAAAGTTACACGTTATCTTTATTCTTTTTTTCGATGAAAAACGGTTATTTTACATGAGAAAGATAAGCAACATGATTTTTTCCAACATATGTATTCTATTTAATAGCTCTTGATAACGTGATCTTCGCACACTGTTAAATGATGTGCAGAAAAAATATAGTTCAAAGATTTTCATTTCTTTCATAGGCGACATCTGTCAGACGGAGAGAATCAATGTGTCTTTTCATATTCTAAAAGAGCATTTCGATACGATATGACACATATTTATGCTAAAATTATCTAAATTACCAATAGGTTATCTCAACAGAAAGTTTTTTTATTGGACTAATTGAACTCTACAATGGGTTTTGCCTTTTCTTTCCTTACGGATAATATGTGGATAATCTGGACGTACTCTCTGAGTCGATAAGTGTCTTCTAGTATTTTGCATCGTCATTACAGCGCATTCATTTACGACAATCAGACTTCTGTACAAGATGGCAAACGCTCAAGAAAATCTACCGACTGCCCAATCAGCACTACAATGGGTTCGGGTAGGTAATGCAAAACAATTCGAATTCACAAAATCAGCACCGGTAATCAAACCATCGGAAATAGGTGATAATCAAGTTTTAATCGAAAATCATGCTGTTTCTCTCAATCCAGTTGATTATAAGATGGCGACAGTCAACTTTGCCAACGTTAAATTGCCAGCAGTTACAGGTTACGACGTCAGTGGTCGAGTCGTTGCTGTTGGAAAAGATGTACAAAGTTTCAAGGTTGGCGATGAAGTTTTCGGATTGTTAAATCTCGATTCGAGTAATGGTGGCGGAGCACTTCAACAATATTCTGTTGGAGAAGCCGAGGCACTAGCGAAGAAACCAGTCAGTATTAGCCACGAAGATGCATCAACGCTTGGCGTAGCATTTTTATCCGCTATGGATGGTCTGCGTCAAGTGAATATCGATTCGACCACCTCTGTTTTTATTCCTGGTGGTTCAGGTGGTGTCGGCCATTTTAGTGTGCAAATTGCTCAAATTCGCGGTGCCAAACAAGTGATTACATCAGCATCGAAGGATGATGGCATAAAGATACTCAAGGAGCAATACAAAGTCAACGATGTTATTAATCATGGCAAAGAAAATGTGGTCGATCGGGTGCTTGAACTAACAGAAGGACAAGGCGTCAATGTTGTTTACGATTCAACTTATCTTCCATCGAGTTTTGAAAAATCAACTCGAGTAGTTAAGGAAGGTGGTTCATGGATTGTTCTTGGCCGTTTTGGGCAAGAAGGTAGCGCAGAAGCGAACAATGTTGCTGAACGAAAAGCTAATCTTGTCCATGCGGATATCGCACGTTATTGGTTCGGACCTGAACGTGCGCAATTGACAACACTTGTTCACGATGCATTACTTCAAGGAGCAAAATGGATGGAAGATGGAAAATTAAAACCGTATATAAATAAGGTAATTAAACTTGAAGACGCAGAAAATGCTCTTCATGATATTATGCAAGGAAAAGGTGGCTTTGGAAAGATTGTAGTGAAGATTTTATAGACTTTTATTGTAAAGAAAAAGCGTATTTTAACTTCGAAATAAAGTCTCTACGTTTCCCTCGAACTTCTTGTCTATCTTTTTTTTTCTTATTTAAAATGTACCACAACTTGTGGTAGAATACTTGGTTCTTGAAATACAACCAATTCATCGTATATCGCATCATCTGTGCCTGTCGGTGGCGGTCGATAATCCATCGCACTTTCACTGCCTATCGGTGAGACGGGAATGTAATGACACTGATAGTTTTTAAAATTACCATGTCCGTAAAATCTGAATTTGGTTGGTGAGACATTCAACGGCGCATCGGCTGAAACGACTGGGAACGGATTTAATAATGCGATGTAGCACATGATCAAACAGCCGCCACTCTCTGGACAGTATCGTGCTGCGTATTTAGCTGACGAAGTAAAATACATTCCTTTTCCATACCAACCGTCATCGAGGGTACCTAACGTGGCGAATCCATCCGATAATAGGTTCGGTAATGCATTTTTTCGACATCCATGCCACATACGAACAATTCGTGCTTGTCGATTATGCGAAACTTGTTGACACAAGGAATCAAGACGGTCTAAGACACGTTGACGTTCAGTAAAACTATTTTCTTCGTGTAATTTCGGTTGAAATTGTGCTTGTGTCTGACGATTTTCTACTGTTTCTATGTGTCCAAGAAACATTCGGTATCGGCCAGCATTAAAGACAAATTCAACTTTGTCTATTTGATAACGGCTGGGTAATGTACCAAGCCAGTTGTAAATACGAGATAAGATAGAGCTGTGTTTTTGCTTTACCAATTGACACGCTGACGTCTGCCGATAGATTGATGTTGTAGCTTCATTCATCTCATGAATAGATAACAATGCACTAAAATCACCACGAAATTCCTCATAATAAGACTTTTTCGATTCTTTGCTCAATGATGATAAAGGTTTCGAACCACTCGCTGTTGAAGGTCCTCTCAATTCATCGATACCTTTTAGAAATAATTTACGGTGTAAAACTGTGCTTACACCCAGGTCTCGTAAGACTTCGTCGTCCACTGAGGTCAATAGTAGATGACCATTGATACCGTGCTCACGAAAACTGTCGGAATANTTTTGTAGCGCCAGTTGCATTTAATGTTGCCGATCTTTCCATCAAAATAGGGGAACCTTCGAGCAGACTCCCATGTAAACATTTTTTGGATCGAAACGCGCTTCAATTTGAGCTGCGTCCTCGGTGAAACTATCGGAGCGTCTGAACGCGTTCACATTAAATTTCAAAATTAGGCAAAAAAATCTTTGAGCCATCTCAGATTCGAACTGAGTCGCCACCACAGTTATGTCTTGGTGGTCTTAGATTATTCTCGCACACGAATTGGATTTTTATCTTACTTACCGAAATGTAGATTTGAACAGATGAACCATCGATCAGAAGTCTTGAACATACACCACTAAGCTATACTTACTCGAATCATATCAGTATAGAAAAGAATATGTATCTGAACACACATTTAGACGTGTACACGTGAGGATAACAATACTCATTTTACATGATTTTGAAGAAAAAATAACTCATCGTCTCACTTGCTTCCGATAATCTCATTCAGTTTTAAACTAATTTAGATTTTATTTCTTTTTCCATTTCTATTTGAGATTTCATTTACGATAAAAACATACTGAATGAGATATTTATCAGGCGGATATTGATAATCAATGACCTTCAACTGATTTAAAAGATTTGGTTTGCAGAACAGATATCGAATAATCGTTGATAATATCTTTCAATATGTATGATGATTTCCATCCAGATATTCTGTAACTGACAGAATATATTTTAGTTGAGCGTCTTTACATAAAGCAAATTGCTTTAATGTTTAAAAAGACAGAGAATCAGTAGTTATTTGGAACGTAACTTATACAAAGCTACCAAAAGCAAACGCATTTTTAGAGAATCGGAAACGCATCTCAGATGTGTTAAGCCGCGCCTAAACGTATTTCAGTTACATTTTTCAACGCAGCCAAGTGCTACTTTCTACAAGATGCGTCCAATTGCGTTTAAAACCAGTTGTAGTTGCGTTTGGATACGGTTTAAACTTCCATCGGGTCTGGCTGCGTCAAAGTGCAAGAAAATATTATTTTGTTTTGCATTCAAACGCAGTTATCTTGAGATACGCGTTTGAACGCGATAAAATTTATTTTAAACCGCGTCTACGTGCGATTTGCGAAGTAAAATGCGTCGGGATGCGTTTATCCTGCGTCTGGTGTTTACATGAGCTGTGACAGGAATGAGTAAAATTTAGCGTTTCGATCGTGAAAGTAAGCCGACGTAGAATTTCAGTTGTCGAGGTGATACTACATCATTTCTTTTCTCTTCTCTTTCCATTGGATTCTGTTTGTAGTCTCCAAGAGTAATAACTGCCAAGTGTGTTTCTTCATATGGAATATTTTTACCTTACTGTCGATTGCTTTTAATATTATAGATCTGAAACTTTCGAGCAAAATATCATAGAATGGCATCAAACGTAACGTAACACAACTTACTTCTGCATGAAAAAATTTCATATTTTGATTTTTATAGAATACAGAAGAAGCAAAGATCGAGGAACATAAACGAAAACTGTTCATACAACATCTCAGCTCTGAAACAACGGAGCAATCATTACGACGTTATTTTTCAGACTATGCCATCGACTGGGCTGCTATTCCAAAAATTGACAAAGGTAAAGATCTTACCTTTGCCTCTCTGTAGAAGATGACGTATTTATTCATACAATAGGACACAGTCGATTGCATGGAATTGTTACATTTGCGAATAAAGCAAGTGTCGATGCTGTGATGAAAAAACGTGATCATCGAATTGATGGTAAGGAAGTTTTCATTCATCGATCAGTTCCAAATCAAGGATCATCACTCAAAAACAACTGTGGAATTCAACAACTGATTGTTTCGATTTCAAATAATCGAACATTAACTGGAACAGCGATTCAGGAATATTTTAAAGCATATGGCACAATTGTTCGAATTGATTGTAGTAACGATGGTAAAGACTGGACGATTGACTTCGATTAGTAAGTTGCTAATGTGTACGAATGTATCACGGAAGTCCCCTCGTACATTCATTTTCACTGATAGTTATGACTCAGTGGATCGGATTTTGCTCGATTGTCCGCATTGTATTGGTGACGTTGATGTGGAAGTGAAGAAAGGTAATCGGCGATCATTAATGCAAGAAAAAACCACCATTACCGAGAGTATACCAAGAAAATCCAGTTTAAAACAAGTGAAAATGAGTATGTTTGTGTATGTGACGTTCTTCGCTTCAAATTCTTGTTGTGCTTTTTCACAATANTCCAGAGTTGAATGCTTTGCATTTAGATACAAGACGAACGGCTACTCTGGGAGATCAACTCAAAAAGTATTTGTTAAATACATTTGATCGTGCTTTCGGTTATCCGGGTCATCATCCATGGACACTCGATGATCTCGAATGTCGTCTCAAGTCAATTCTTCATCTACTCATCCCGGTCGAGCCGAAACTTGATGCAGTAGATGGTATTATTCAGGAGTTGATTTCCATCTCCGATCCATCAACAGTTACTTCGACCGTGATGGACAATGTTTACGACGAGAAGTTTGAAAAGGCATCGCAAACATTCTATCAAGCAAAGAAACACTTCATTGATAGCGGACGAAATCAATATGAATGGTCGTATGGTTGTTGTACATGGATTCATCACCCGCAGAAATCGATAAATGAATGTTACAATGATGACATACTCACATATCATTCGAGTCGAGGAAGAACAACAACTACTTATTCAATAATTGTTAGATGTTTAGCAAAATGTAGTGAAGAAGGTCGAGTGATTGCATTGTCGATCAGTAGTGACGTGAATGGCAGAACGATCGAAATTCCAATCGGCGAATATTCGACAGCTCAGGATTATCATAAGGATGTGGTTGAACTTTTTCAAGTAGAGCTAAAAAATCTACTCTTGGCTGTTTATATCGAACGTACCTCCTTGATTCCAGGATCGTAGTTATTAATTATGTCTTTGTTTTTTGAAAACCATGTTCTATAATAAATCTGTCTCGAGTTTATAATTAGAAATAAATGCTCGAAATAGTTTTCACGTGTATGATCAACGTTTAGATCCTTTAAGTTATGTGCATAGTTCGTGTTGCGAGGAAACTGGAGAACAAGTCCAACAACCAGGTGTGCGAATTTTCGATCAGATGTGTGGAGCGTAGAATAGATATGGGAACTATGCAGAAAATCGCGTGTATACAAATGTCAATATTGATGTACTGTTTCGAACATAAACGACGGCGCTCATTTTCTCTGAATACTTCTTCTTCTTCTTTCGACCTCTAGCCCAAACGGAACTCCTTTTAAAAGAGAAATTTGCGTGCAAGTGGACATTTGAACCGAATGATGCAACTTGGTGAACTATTGTGTGATACGTAAGAAAAGTTCATTATGATCAAGAATATGCGATGAGAGAAGATTCATGATATTATTTTATCAAATATTTTATATATAGAAATCGTGGAATACATTGCTTGACATATCTCATTGTCACAGTTACCAGTTTTCTCGATTTATTTACTATTTCATCTACTTCTGAAAAGAAAAACAAATCATGGTCCACAAAATCGAATTCATCGTGTCAAATTTTAACTTTGTCGTCAAACATATTGATAAGACGCACAAGAAAAATTCATTTCTATCATCAACAGTAGACATCGTACATGACTGAGAATGAAATTCATAGTTACATATTTTATTGACAATTAATACGCCTAATTCCCATTTCAGTCTTGAAATAAAACTATGTTACTAATGCCGTGTCTTGAGTGGTAGTCGTATCTAAATCGTAGTTAAAACGATGGGAAAGAATTGAATTTCAAAATGTTTCGTCATGAAATGCATACAGGATAATAAAACTTTCGGCATCATAGTTGTTAACAATGGTCTATACGATCCAACAGTCCTAATAAAAATGTTAAGGAGTCGAACTCGAATCTACGGCACAGATAAACTTTTTAATCCAGTAAAGCTTTCGTTGTTGACAAAATGCGACATTCTAAAAGTCTCATTCGTGTTCGGCTAAGACAAAAAAAGTTCACAACTTCTATGATAGTTCTTCCAATGGATGCGGAATTTAAAAAGTATGCAGTAATCGATTCGGAGGATTTTGGTTTAACAAGCAGTGATCAAGTTGCGTGTACATCAGAAGTGTTTCTATTCATTTTAAGATTTATAAAACCTCTTGAGAACCAAAGCGTTGCTGCATTTATTCATTTTCGTGTGACGTTGTTACGAATGTTTTGAGAATAAGAATATTTACACAGGAACAAAGACCACGTTGTCTTTCAATACTTATCAGATTCGAAAAGATAAGCTTCGCTGACTGCTATCTAGCAAGTTACCTTTTCTCAACGTCATTCAGTATCTACGTTGGAAGAAACGAAAACACCACAGATATGAGTGAACAGACAACAGTCGCCTCAGAAATAACAAACCAATTTCATCGTTTAAATATTGGACAGATGCAAGAGATCCTCGTGGTCTGGTTGGACACTCACATTTACAGCAGTAATCCAGATTATCAGAATGCAATCACACATCTTCAATACGTTGTCAATGATATTTATACATTCACTGATAATGATGAATGTATCGATTTTATTCTCACTCTCACCGACACAAATGTTTGTTTGATCACGTCAGGATCACTGGGGCAACTTATTCTACCATGTATACATGATATTTCAAAAATCGATTCGATCTTCATTTTCTGTGATGACCAAAATCGACACGAACAATGGGCCAAACACTGGTGCAAAGTGAAGAGTGTTTCCATTGATATTATACATATTTGTGAACAATTAACGAAAATCATTCGTCGATATGAACTCACTGCTATTCCTATGAGTTTTGTACAATCTGGTAAACGATTAGATCGACTAGAGCCATCATTTATGTACACGAAGATCATCAAAGAAATACTTTTAACAATTCAATTTGAGGATAAACACATCAAACAATTCGTGAAGTATTGTTGCGATAATTTCGTTGATACTGAAGTTGATCGAAAGAAAGTGAAAGAACTGGAAGACAAATATCATCAACACACACCTATTTGGTGGTATACAGCACGAAGATTTTTATACGGTATGCTGAATCGTGCATTACGAGAGATGGATGGTGAAGTGATCACATTGATGGGCTTTTTCATCAATGACCTTCATCGACATATCGAAGAATTGCACAAGCGGCAGTTTGGTGATGCATCACCTACTGCTAAATGCTTTCCAGTTTATCGTGGTCAAGGTTTAATGAAGAAAGATTTTGATGAATTGATGGCAACGAAGGGTGGGCTGATGTCATTCAATAATTTCCTGTCTACCAGTGAGAATCGCAACGTTTCTCTTATGTTTACTCCAGGAAATCGACAGAACAGTGGTGTGATCAGTGTTCTATTTGTGATCACAATTGATCCAAAGCAATCAACAACGTCATTTGCTTCGGTTCGTCACATCAGTCGATTTCCCGAAGAAGAAGAGGTACTGTTTTCGATGCACAGTATCTTTCGCATACGGGATGTTAAGCCCATGGATGGAAACGAGAAAATGTATGAAGTGGCGTTGTCATTGACGAGTGATAATGATGAAGAATTGATGGTACTTACTGAACAGATTCGAAAAGAAAGCTTTCCAAATGCAGAGGGATGGTCACGACTGAGTCTAGTACTCGCTGACATAGCACAGTCAGACGTTGCTGAACGAATCTGTCAAGTTCTAATTGACGAAACGCCTTCTGAAGACTCTACAAACCGTGTCTATAATCACCTGGGTAAGATTAAATGCCAGAAAGGGCAATATGAGGAGGCAATAACTCTGTTTCAAAAATCTCTTGAACTCTCGTTGATGTCATCTTCTCCCAATCATCCAGATGTGGCTGTATCCTACAACAACATCGGTATTGCCTATTACAACATGGGTGACTATTCCAAGGCACTTTCATCATATGAACAAGCTCTCAAAATTCAACTACAATCACTTACTCCCAATCATCCACATGTGGCTTCATCCTACAACAACATCGGTAATGCGTATCACAACATGGGTGATTATCCCAAGGCACTTTCATCATATGAACAAGCTCTCAAAATTCAACTACAATCACTTCCTCCCAATCATCCACATGTGGCTTCATCCTACAACAACATCGGTAATGC